GACTCTAGACTCCATCGACAACACGACCCGTCGAAATTAATTTGAAGTGATCCTAACATTTTGCCTTTTTTCCCTTTCGCTTCTCTCTAGCATCAGGAATGTTTAATTTGGGTTCCTCCTCCTCTTAAATTTCGGGAACATCGATGTCATCCAAATCAATTAGATTATTGTTGGGATCCACACCCAAATGCGGAATATCTTCAAGAATTGGTACTTCATTTAAATCGAAAAATTGATTTCGATATTGACTTTGCGGCATCGTAGGTGATTTGCCTCCGAAACCGAACACGTCCTCGACAAATAAGTGTGAATCCATTTCAATTTGTGAATTGTGATAATACAATATAGATTAATAAATGATATAGGAAGATGATTGAATTGAAATTGAAATTGAAGATGATTAAATTGTAAAAATTAATCTATATAATATGACTATATTGTATAATTGTAGACTAATTGAGAGTTGAGATAAATCAATTGAAAGTACAAGCAAGATTGAGAGAAAGAGGGTTGAGACAATGAGACTTGAGAGAGTTGATGAAAAATCTTAGGCCAATTGAGACAATCTATAGAAGAGGGAAGAGTAGAAGAAATAAAAAATTATTCAGTGACCGACAGTTAGTGATGCCAATGGGTCGAGCCAAGCCAGCTCTGGCCTTAACCTCACGAGCTAGGCTCGACGAGCCGAGCTCATGGCTTGTTTTCAACGAGCCAAGCTCTCGTTAATTTTAGGAGAGCTCGGGTCGGGCCGAGCTTTAGCTCGCGAGCTTGTCATCTTTTTCATTTTTTTAAATAGAAAAAACACAAATCATTAATGAAAGCACTTTTTAAAGAAATAAAAATTGTTAAAAAAATACAAATAATTTAATGAAGACACTTTTTTCTTTTTTTTATCTATATCATATTGTAATATTTTTTATAAAGTATAAATTATTTATATAATGAAGACGAATTATTTTTTGAAATACATTTACAAAAAATACATCGTTTTATTTCTTTTTAAAGTAGATAAAATGTAAACCTTCATCATTTATCCACCGACTACATCAATTTTAAGTAGGCGAAGTTCAAAATTATACACAAACAACTTGTTGTACTGTGTACAATTTTTTAAAGAAAATAAAATTTAATGATTAAAAAATAAGAAAATTTTGATTAATATAATTAATCAAATATCACTTACCAAACGATATGCAATTTCAGCGTATTTATCTTGTAACCGAAAATGAGTGTCCTGTCAATCCTTCATGCACATTAACGCTTCCAAAACATCTTCTTTTAGTTGACTCCTGACATCGGTCAAAACCCTTTTATCTGGACTAAAAGCAGACTTCGAAGCAACAGTGCTAACCGAAGGTGTCAGCAGATCTTTCGCAATTGCAGAAACAATTGGCCAACGTCTTTCATACTTTAGCCAGAATTCAATTACTTCTTCTGAACTTTTTTTAATTGTTCTGTCTGTTGGCATATTATGATTAAAGTAATAAATTAATTCGGCAGGCATCGCATTTTGAGTTGCGGCCGATGTTTGATGAGATGCAAATGTATACGACTTGGCACTAGATGAACACATTGCAGTTGCATCATATCTAAATGTATTAATGCCTTGAAATAAATTCTTTATTTCGACATCATCTTCTTCAATTTTAGCCGAATGAGTAGGTGCAGAGGGTACCCGACTAACATTTGCACTCATTATTTCCGCATATAAGTCATACATTCCACATCACGTTTGCTTTAAATTCTTATAGGTGATAGATGTATCAAGTATTAAGGCTTTATTGATTTGATCAATTACGTATTTAGTTCCCAAAATATTATATCGGGGGTCCATTGCGCATGCTAAAGGAAATAACATATGCAGTTCTTCCCAATATTTTATAAATTTTAATTCCATAGTAATTATAATTTCACTAAAAGTATGATCATTTTTATATTTATGGAATGTTCTTGCAATTATATAAAGGCATTCAAATACCATACAGTTTGTGGGATAATAAGCGTTGGATAAAATTTTTGTGGTCTCATAAAAAGATGTCAAAAATCGTTTAACTTTCAAAAGTAAAACTCAATTGGATTCATTCAACATACCATCGTCATCACTTCTAACGTGTCTATTGTTATAAAAGTCAGTTATTAAATGTTCGAAACCTTCACATGACTTTAAGAGCAAGTAAGTAGAGTTTCATCTATGGTCTACATCGCTAACAAATGTTTTAGCAGTTGTCACCCCTAATTCGGCACAAAAATCTTCAAATGCTTGTTTTCTACTATGAGAGATCGTAATATATACTAATGTATTCCTAATTTTTTGAAGTTCATCATTTTATATATTTTAAACCATCTTGCGCAATTAAATTCAAGATATAACACACACAATGAATATGAAACAAATACCTACCAAAATCAGGTTGAAACTTCCTACACAATTTATTGATGACTACTTTATTAACACTAGTATTATCAAAAGTAAAAGATCGAATTTTAGTCTCGCAATTATATTCTCTAATAATACTGATAATAGTATTATATATATTATTAGCATTGTGAGGAAACTCAATAATTCTAAAAGCAATAATTTTTTTATGTATGCACCAAAGTGGGTCTATATAGTGTGCGGTTGTAGCTATATATGCTCTTTTATTAACCACTTCCCATATATCAGAAGTTAAAGATATAACACCCCCATATTGTTGCAAATTCATAATTAATTGTTGTTTTGAATTATTGAAATATTGTATTGTATCGGCATGAAGAGTGTTTCGATTTAAAGTGATCCCAACATTTTACTTGTTTTTTACCTTTTCGCTTTCCCCTTGCATCTAGGATGTTTAATTTGGCATCTTCGTCCTCATGTTTAATTTGGCATCTTCATGTATGAGTACGTCATTTAGACCGACAAATTCATTTGGAAATTGACTTTGCGACGTCCTAGGCGATTCGCCATGTGTCCCACATTCCGTATCAAATAAGCTCTCAACAAATGAGCGTTGATCTATTTGTTTGATTGTTTATGATGAAATCCAAATATAATAACTAGAAAAATATAAATGTAGCGAGATTGTGAGAATTGAATGAATTGAAATTGTAATTAAATAATCTGTAAAAAAATGAATCGATATTGTATGTTTTGCAGCATAAGAGAGTAAAAACTCGATAATTGATATAATAAAAGAGAATTGGGAAATGAGAAGTTGTGATTGAGAGGAGATAATTGATATAATGATATAAAAAAAGGGGAGTTAAGGGATATTTATAGTAGAAGGGGAAAAAAATTCAGTGACCATTTTGGTCACTATATTCGCGAGCCACGCGTGGCTCATCGTTTGAGCTCGTGGCTTGTTTTAATGCGAGCCCATGAGCGGCTCATCCCGCTCGGCTCGCCTCCCGACGAGGTCTGCTCGACTCGCGTTCGAGCTCATGATTTTACGAGCCAGAGCCACCCCACGAGCCTTATTTCGATGAGCCGAGCTCGTCCCTTTTGACATCTCTATCGACAGTGATCGTTAATTGTCACTGAAATTTGGAAAAAATGACCAAACTAATCATGTCTACCTGGCTCGCCATTAGGCGAGTCGAGTCAGCCGAGTGGACTCGACTAGCCAAACAGGCCGGTTCGATCGGTTCGTGCTCAGGATCTTTTTTTACAAGCCCGATCCCCCCATGAACTCCGTTTTCACGAGTCGAGCGGGTGAGCTGACGAGCCACTCAGCCCGTTTGCCACCTCTAGATGTTAGTGGTGGTCGTGGTAGTGGGTGTGGTAGTTGTGGGTGTTAGTAATCAATGAATTGGTTTATTTGTGACCAATAAATATATTTGACCAATTATTTGAGGTTGTAACAAATAAATTAGATATTTTGTAACCAATAAATAATATGATCTATAATTTGTGACTAATAGATAATATGTAACCTAAAAATTTGAATAATGACTTATAAAATTTCTAATTTGTGACCGATGAATAAATTTTAACCTATAAATCTTTTGATTTATAATTGATGGCTAGATTGTGACCTATTAATTTTTTGATTTGTATCCATAAAATAATTTGCATCCTGTAAAATTTTAAGAAATAATCTGTAACCAATTAATTTCATAACGCACGTGTGATCATTAATTGTATAATTGTGAAGTTAATATATTTAATTAATAAAATATTTTAAATTAGTTAATTTATTAATTTATATCTTAGTTTTGAATTTTAAAATTTAGCCCCCGTTTGGCGTCCATTATTTCCAAATTTTAACGGTTTGAATAGTATTTTTTTTGAAAATTGTGTGGTTGAAAAAGAATAAAAAGTTTTCGATTTGTGTATATTATTATTTTATGGAAGATTGTGTGATTAAAAATAAGAGAAAGAAAAAGAATAAGAATGAGAATGGGGGCCAAACAGGGGCTTAGTGTGTTTGAGTCATATTATTTTGGAAGAATATGATTTAGAATAGTAGATTGATGGAGAAAGTGTAATTAAAAAAAGAGGAAATTTTTTGAATTTATGTGTAATATTATTTTAAGGGAAAATATGTGGTTGATATGATATCAAATCAATTTTATTATTATTATTTTTTTGAAAATAATGTGGTAAGGAATTAATTTTTCCAATGGTTGCTGAACTTATGTCTATATCTTTGATTGGTCACTGAAATTTAAATGTCGAGTTTTGATCACTGAACTTCAAAAAATATTGTATATTACTCACTAAATTTTGAAAAATATTGTACATTACTCACTGTAAACTCGATATTTTTCAAAGTTGAACAGTGATGATAATGAGTAACGTAAAACATATTCCAAAATTTAGTAGTCAAAATTCGATATTTTAAATTTCAGTAAGTAATCTAAACACATGGATTTCAAGTTAAGTAAGTAATTGAAGATATAGACCTAAGTTCAATGAACAAAATTCAACATTTTAAATTTTAGTGACCAATAAAAAACATGGATCAAATTTCGATGACAATTGGAATAATTAACTCCTCGAACAGGGCGTTAAAATCTCAAAATTGAATTGTTGACCTGTGAATTTCCCTTCAGAAAATTGCGAAGGGTTTTTCAGCAATTCATTTCTACTCACTCACACAAGGGGGTTAAGATTCAAAGCTGAAGAGTGAAAATGTGGAGGCCGGCATCGCTACTAGCAAGAAGAACTTTCCTCAGTAGGGAAACGGCGGCTCAGAAATTCCGGGATACAGTATTTCATTCTCAGGTACCGAACGCTGAGTTTCTAAAGTTAAGCGTGCCATGTGTTGAATCCTTGTTTCACAAATCGGATTTCTCCACCTGGGTATGTGGAAAATCTGATTTTTATCCGCACGCAAGATTTTTCTCATCTAACCCATCCGAAAATTATGAGGAAGAGCGCGCAGAATCGTCAGTCCCGCAAGCCAATGAAGGGTTCGGGGAATTTTCTGGGAGCTCGAACAACGTGTTTGATGAAAGTATGAGCTCCATTTCGTCGGAACTGGAAGCTGGGTCTTCGATTTTCAATGAAGACGCGGATGGCTTAGAGTTAAATGATGGTTTGGCTGCTGAAATTGATGAGAGTTCTATTCCTATGGACCAAGGGTTTGATTCTTTTGCAACGGAGGATGATAAAGTTGAAAAAATGGAGGAGAATGATATGGAAAAGGTGCAAAGTTTGTTGTCATTGCTTCAGAGCAGTGCTACAGCTGATGCGTCTCCAGAGGAGGACTTTGAAAAAATGGGTTTGATATTGAATGAAGATTTTGTGGTTATGGTGCTTGAAACACCATATGTTCCTGGAGAGAGTTTACTTGGTTTTGCCAGGTGGGTTTTGAAGAAACCGGAATTTAAGGTGACTGAGCGGGTGCTTGATGCACTTGTTAGCGGAATATGCAAGGGAAATAGGAAGAGAGAAGCTTATGCATTGTGGGATCTTGTCCAGGAAGTTGGGGAGAAGGAGAAAGGCGTACTGAGCACGGGGAGTTTAAATGAACTAATAGCCCTATATTCAAGATTAGGGAAAGGAAAGGCAGCATATGACGTGTTCAATAAGTTTGGAGAGTTTGGATCTGTCTTGAATGCTGATACATATTATTTTACGATTGAAGCTCTTTGTAAGAGGTCGTTTTATGATTGGGCTTGCTCGGTATGTCAAAAGATGGTACATGAGGATAAACTTCCTAGTTGCGATAGAGTTGGGAAAATAATTTCTTATTTGTGCAGAGGAAGTAAGGCTAAAGATGCACACTCAGTGTATCTGTCTGCAAAGGATAAGAAAATACATCCTCCTCGGTCTTCTGTAAATTTTTTGATCATCTCTCTTTGCCGACTTAGGCTATCCGATAAAGAAACTCCTACTGAAATTGATAAGGAAATTGACAGGGAAACTGTTTCCTTGGCTTTAGAGATGTTGAATGATTATACAACAGAAGATCGGATCCGTGCAATTAAACCCTTCTCGAGTGTCATTCGGAAATTGTGTTGGATTGAAGATGTTGAAAGGGCAAAAAGATTGCTTCTCGAGATGATTGATATAGGTCCACCTCCTGGTAATGCCATCTTCAATACAGTCATCAATGGGCTTGCAAAAGTTGGGGACATGGATGAAGCTATGAAAATAATGAGACTGATGGAGAGCAGAGGTTTGAAACCTGATGTATATACTTACAGTGTCATCACGAGTGGTTATGCTAAGGGTGGTTCTATGGAGGAAGCATGCAAGATTTTCGAAGAAGCCAAAAAGAAGCACTCTAAGCTGAGTCCTGTTACTTATCACACACTCATTCGTGGGTTCTGCAAGCTTGAACATTATGATGTGGCTGTGAATTTGTTGAGGGAGATGAAGGATTATGGAGTTCACCCGAATCACGACGAGTACAATAAGCTCATTAAATCTCTTTGCTTGAAGGCTTTAGACTGGGAAACAGCGGAGAAGTTGCGAGAAGAGATGAAAGAGAATGGCTTGATTCTCAATGGTAGGACAAGTGCTCTCATAAATGCAGTGAAGCAATTACAAGAAGAAGGGACTAGCCAAGAAGTAACTGCTGCAGCTTGAATTGAAACCAATTTACCCTTTTACTGAAGCTAATTTAGCATCAAGATTCTGATGGCAATCTTGGACCATTTTTGTAATTTTTTTTTCTTTTACTCCTCTCTTTTCCAGTTAGCGATCTAGAATATAAAATGAATGCATTTCTTGTGAAGTCCATAATAATTTCTTTGCTGTTTATGTTCACTTATCTATTGAGAATTTGGAGAAATGAGCATTTCGTTCACTTCTATTTCTAACTTGTTAGACTGTGCGTAAAAGTCACTTTTTTACGTAAAAGTCACTTTTTTAGAATAGTTAGTCTTGTTAAGTAGTTTTGAAAATCATAGCAGAAAGTTACATAAAAAAATATATTTGACTTTATTTTAAGCATAACAAAATAAATTCTAAAGCAATTTACATCATTTCTAGATCTAAACTCGTGACGAAATTTAGCACAGCTGTGATACCTAATTCAGCTTATGTCCATAATCTGTTACTGTTAGAATTATGCTGCACGCCCGTTTTATCTACATTCAGGCAGTATTCTGAACTGCTTGAATATCTTTTCTTCTCGAGCTATTTTATGACTCTCTTGTGAAGTCAGTAAAATGATCTATATTACAGGAAACGATAGTAATCAGATGTGTGCTGTTTCTGTCTTGGTTCAATATAAATCTTGTATCTGTCAGTTATTGCAGTTGCTACTCTGTTAACTTCCAAATTGGTTAAGAACTATAAAAAGTCGATTGAATCTGCCAAACCTTTTTTTCCCCAAAAAGTATAGTGAAATGCTACACTTAGTTGAACATAGGAGTACAACTAGAACAAATGTGAGTAAACTGTTTGTTGCACTGTCAAGCTTGAAGCTATGTTATAAAAAGTTTGTATTCTCAGTTGAAATATGCAACAGTGCCTCATTAGTATACTTTCATCTTCAAAAAATTGTATTTGAACTGCTTTTTCATTCCATGGTGCTCTAATGACAACTCATGACAGGTGGGCAAAAGGGAAACAACTCCACAGCACATAAATAAAAATCAGACACCCATTTCCTGGAAATTAAGAACTAGACATGCAACTGTGTGAAGGTATCTACTGATACAACTTAATTTTCTTCTGCATCAAATACAGAATTGGACCAAATGATAAATTCACATGTGAAAAAAGAAGGGAATTTCCGCCGTTCATCCCCAGTCTATGAATGCTAACCCAATCCCTTACTCGACCCTCATCACTATCAAGTTGTAACTGAAGTAGATAAAAAAAAACTTCTGCCTGATAGTTGGTTACAATGCCATCCCCATTCTAATTATTTTGGCAGCAAGTTTTCCCCGTCCTATGGGTTTTTGTGTGGATAGTCCTTGCATGGAACCCGTCCATTTAGTCTGATAAGTGGAAAGCGCACAATGTATTTGATATATTACACACCAGAAAAGCCACCATCCCCCTTCATATTTCACATTCATTTCAACTGTTGCCCCATCCTTCTTTTACACACCATTTCTTTGCCTCTTTGATATGCAGTTCCCAAAGGATCAATTTAATGGTATGTTAAGGATTGTGAAATGGGCATTGGAAAAAGAAACTGACAGAACTGTAAATCATTTTGAATATTGGAAAAAAAAAAAGATAGAACAAAAATCTCATTTTCTTGGTGGATTTACACATTATTACCAGGAAGAAGAAGATCAATACACCCCGCCGTGAAATGGTTCCATGGTGGCGGTAGAGCTTGAATCTAGACCCTCATCATTATCTTCCAGTGTTGCCTTCCATGGTGTAGGTGTAGTATATGTGTGTGTGTGTGGTGTACATACATACATACATATATATACACACACACACACACACACACACACATATGCTTGAACCAGTTTTCTTCCTTGACATAGCACTTGTAATGAAACTCACTACAATTTCACCTTGCTCAAAAGTTTTTGAAGAAATTTTTATCCCGTTAAAAACTCTTGGAGAGATCTTGAGTCTTGATTTGCTTTTGTACTTGAAATCTTGAACACCGAACTTGAAAATTTTTTGAACTTGCTTGAAGAATCTTAGCAATATAATTGCAATAGTCCTTTGTCTGCCATGATTTTGAAAGTTCGTTGTTTCTTTTCCAACTTTCGAAAAGTGGACATCAATTTTAATAAAGTTGTTTTATTAAAGTTTTATCTCCTTTTAGCTATTGGTAATGCTTGTAGAAACAACTTTTGAGGTGGCATGCATAATTGAAATAGAGCATCTTTTATCTTATGAGCTCGATATTTTTGAAGTTCATCCAAATAATTGGGTTTATATAGTCATTTTGAATTCTTTTGAGCTTCTTCTTGAGCAAGTAGTTCATCAATATTTAATCCATAACAATTATCTCCATTGCTTTGGGCTTAGTCTTTTGAATTTGTTTGAGAAGAACTGTCTGGAATTGATTTTGATTTCTTTAAAGCAGTTTCTGCCAAAGATGGCAATTTTTTCAGAAATAATCGCTATTTCCTCTGTGTTTTACATTGATTGAACATGGTCATTAATCTTGATTTTTCCGTGAGAAAGTCGGCATTTTTATCTAACTCTTTCTTTGAGATTTTTGGTGCGCCAATATTTTTTCATTCTTGAATCCACGAATTTACTGCTTTTGGATAACAGTTAGTTTCATGGAATTTTGATCATTGTTTTACTCTGAATCTCCAAATAATTCTTTGAACGTGATATTCAGAGAGTTGATCTTCATAAATGAAATAGTCCTAGCAGAACATCCATGAGACTATCATATTGAATGTGACTTAGAACAAAAAATTTTCTTTAGGTTTTAAAAAGGTTTTGGCCTCCTATTTTAACTGTTCGAATCCTTGATGAGTGAGGCTAGGTAAAATTTTCTTATCAAGTCAAAAACAATGGAATCAAGTTTGAAACCATTTTGGAAAACTTGAATTACAATATTGGTTAAATAAAATGAGCCAACAATTAGTCACTGGTCTAAAGTAAAACTTAGTCTTCATATGACAACACCCTTTGAATACTTATTTTTGAAAAATCAATTGTTTTGGATTTTGAGGATTTTTTGTATGAGTTATGATAGTTAATCCAGTTTCTTGAATTTTTTGATATTATAGGGCATGTATTAAAATTTTGGAGGAAAAATGTTTAGAAGACATTCATTTAGAGATGAATATCTATTTATCCACGATGTTTTCATTTCAAAAACTGGAATATATGCGGATTTAAAAAAATATTGAAAGTTGTTTGGAGGATTTATTTGAGGTAATTTTCCAGAACCTTAAATAGTTTGTTAAAGTTTGAAGGTTTTATTTGTTCTAGAGTATTTTTGTCTTAGTAGGCTTTTTGAATACTAAGGTTGAAAGGGTAGTATTTTGATTATTTTAAGAAGACGAAGAAATTTGTTCTTCTTTTCTTGATGATGATCCTTGAATATAATCATCAATTGATAATAATGCAATAGAAGTCCTTTTTCTAGTATTTTCTTTTGAAATGGAGTTTCAGAGGAAGCAATTAAAACTTTTGGTTTTTGAAATTTCACTTTATTTCTTAGATAATATCTCCCCAATTTATCTTCTCTCTTTTTTTACTATTGAACATTCTCATAACTCTCTTTTTTCTGTATTAACTCTCTTGTAAGAAAATCTGCAAGAATATTTGATTTCCCTTGTACATATAGCATTTCAAGATCAAAACAGGACAAAATAGCCTGCCATCTTACAAAGATTTGTTTTGAAGTAAGATTTTTATATCTTTTGAGACTTTACAGTCTATTTTCAAAATAAATTTTTTATTAATTAAATCATCTTGAAATTTTTTGGACGGCTAAAATGTGATCATTACTCCATGGTAATGGATTTTTCTGTAGCCTTTGAAAACGAGGGGCACAGATTTAACATATACTTTTGACAAAATCAGCCACATATTACCTAAAAAATACTGCAAACTTGTCTTATCTAGAATTTCATCTGGAAATTTATTAGCAAATTCTAGGCTTCTTTGAATTGGTGTAAGTGTTCCTAGGATACTTTTGACAAGGATTGAAATATAAGGAATACTTTTGATAGCTAGCTTGACTTTTTGGACGGCTAATGTGTGATCATTACTCTATGGTAATGGATTTTTGGTAGCCTTTGAAAAAGAGGGGCACAGATTTGACTTATGCTTTTGACAAAATTAGCCACATAATTGACATAGTTTAAAAAAATGCTACAAACTTATCTTATCTAGAATTTCATTTGAAAATTTATCAACAAATTCTAGACTTCTTTGAATTGGTGTAAGTGTTTCTAGGTGTCTAATGACCTAAAAACCGTATACGTGTTTGACATAGAACAACTCTCTTTGCAGAGACTGCTAATCCTATTTTTAATAACACGAATAAATGTACTGAGATGGTTAAAATGTTGTCCTAAACTTTTAGAATAAATTAAAGCATTATCAATATAAACAATAATAAAATTTTGATAAGGATTGAAAATATTGTTCATAGTTTGTTTAAAATGCTAAAGGAGCATTTTTGAGTTCAAAAGACATTATGTTCCATTCATATTGATCAAATGGAACATTAAAAGCAGTTTTATATCTATTTTCTTCTTTAATTTGAATCTACCAAAACCAAGATTTCATATCAAATTTGGAGAAGATAGTAAGCTTTGAGTAATCTATTTAATACATCTTCTTTTGAGGTAATGGATATTGAATCCATTAAAGAGCTTTCTTGAGAGGTTTGTAATTGATAATAGGTCTTGGAGTGCCTCGTTTAATTTCAACAGAATTATTCACACAAAAGGCTGAACAACTCCATTGAGATTTGCTTGGTCTAGTAAGTTTCTTTTGTAATAAATTATTGATTTCTTTGATATAGAAATCAAGTAATTTGTTATTTATTTGAATAGAGCGAAATTTTGTAGAAATCATTGACTCATTAAAATTAGGAACGTATTGAAGAGAAATATATGTTTCTTTCTATTCTAAAAGCATTAGAAATAGTGAACATATTTCTTTTTAAATTTGTTTTTGAAAATCTGAAATTTTCTCTTTAATTGAAAATTTTTACAATTGTTCTTCAATTCTTTAAAATTTAATTTTTCTTAAAGAAATTGAATATGATTTTTCTTAAAACTAATATTATTAATAATTTTTGAAATTGATGTCTCTTTTAAACAATTAACATCTTTAAATGAAGGAGGATTTGTAATTCAAATATTTGTTTCAAATAAATATTTTTTAAAAAGTATTAGTAAGATGATTTAATTAATAAAAAAATCATTTTAAAAACAGATTGTAAAGCCTTAAAAGATGTTCTACATAAAGATGAAAAAATCTTGTTCCAAAATAAATATTTGCAAGATGACAGGTTATTTTGTCCTATTTTAATTTTGAAATGCTATATGTACAAGGGAGGGCGCCATAGTGCCCACCTTGCTCAAAATCAGCAAAGTACGCATGGTGGTGCCTAGGTGCTACCCGTGTGGAAAATGTTTTCTTTTATGTTTTTTTATTCCTTTCTTGACCCAATTCGACCCTAATTCGTCTAAAACCCCAAAACACTATAAATACAACATCAAAAACCTATTTTCAAAAGAGGATTTGGAAGGGGACAATTTTGAAAGGGGACTTCAAGAGGGCAAGGAGGCAAAAGACCAAGAGATTCAAGAACAAGGCAAAGAAGAACAAGAGAAGAAATTGAAGATCTACAACCAAGTTTTTTCTATTCTCTTCCCTATGTCTTCTTATAAGAATTTTAGTATTTCTATAGAGTATATAATGAATTAAACTCATTATCTAGGGATTGATTGTAGCTAAAACTTGAGATTACAGTTTGATTTTATCATAGTTATTTCTATTTTGATTTTCTATAGATGTTTGATTGTATCATGAAATTAATGCTTTCAATTAATTGGCTACTAATTAAATGAATAGATGCTAGTCAATTTCAGCACTTGAGAGAGGGAAATTTAGGCACGATAATAGGATTGACACAACGTAGATTTTATGGGTTTCGAGAGAAAGTATAGAATCTATGAAACTTACTCCATAAAAGAATCATGAACTTGATAAATTCTTGACTTTGATTTATAATAGAGATATTGGGATCGAAATCTAAGAATAATTTCTAGCTGGCACTCGAGAGAATGGAGAGAAATACTTTAGAACTCTTGCTTTTAAATATGGAAAATTGATTAGAATGGCTAGACTTAATTGAATCATAATTGACAATTAGGTGAAATCATTCACTAGACCTTTCCTTCTTGATTAAATTCATATAATTTGCATTTATTGAATTCTTAATTTAGTTAAAATTGTTGGTTCCAATTTACATTCGTCTAGATAAAGTAAAGGCTGCACAATTATAGTACTTGGTAGAAATTAAATTACAATTCCTATGGGTTTGACATCCTATCTCCTTTACTATATTACAAAACTTGATATCGTACACTTGCCGTATAAAATATGTGGTAGAAAACACGTGGCATTCTTTGTCTTCTTAAAATACTCAAAATACTACCCTTTTAACCTTAGTATTCAAAAAGCCTACTCAGACAAAAAATATTCCAGAACAAATAAAACTTCAAACTTTGAATGAGCTATTCAAGGTTTTGGAAAGTTACTTTAAATAAATCCTCCAAACACCTTTCAATATTTTATTAAATCCGCGTATATTCCAGTTTTTGAAATGGAAACAACGTGGATAAACAAATATTCATCTCTAAATGAATGTCTTCAAGACCTTTTTCCTACAAAATTTCAATACATGCCCTATAATATCAAAAAACCTAGAGAATTTTATGAAGCTATCCTTATAAAAACTCGATCAGCATCATAACTCATACAAAAAATCCTCGAAATCTAAAAACAATTGATTTATCAAAAATAAGTATTCAAAGGGTGTTGTCATATGAAGATTGGAAGCAATAGCCATGGAATGAGAAGAGAATGCGTCTCTCAAAAGATGATCATTTGAATCTCATTTCAATTATCTTGATTACAAGAATGCCTGATATAATGTATTTTACTTTAGAACAGTTACTCATTCGTGTTTCATTTTATTAAACCAAAATTGTAATTTAAGTTTTTCAAACTTGGTTTGATTGTTTTGGACTTATGAGAAAATTTTACCTAGTCTCACTCATTAAAGATTCGAACATTTCAGAATGGAGGCCAAAACCTTTTTAAGGCCATGAGAAAATGTTTTGTTCCAATTCACATAAGATATGAAAGTCTGGATATTCTGTTGGGACTATTTCATTTACCAAGATTAAAGCTCTGAATATCGCATTGAAAGAATTATTTGGAGATTCAAAGTAAAATGGTGGTCAAATTTCTATAAAACTAACTGTTGTCCAAAAGCATTATATTCGTGGATTCAAGAGCAAAGAAATATTGGCAGACAAAAATCTTAAAGAAAGAATTAGACGAAAATGTCGACTTTCTCTTAGAAAAAATCAAGATTAATGGTCATGTTCAATCAATGTAAAACGCCAGAGGAATTAGCAATTATTCTTGAAAAAATTGTATCTTTGGCAGAAACTATTTCAAAGAAATCAAAGTCAATTCTAGACAGGTCTTCTCAAACAGGTTTTGAAGACTATGCTTAAAGCAATGGAGATGATTATTATGAGTTAAATATTGATGAACTACTTGCTCAAGAAGAAACTCAAAAGAATTCAAAATGATTATATGAACCCAGCTATTTGGATGAATTTAAAAAATATCAGGCTCATAAGACAAAAAGATGTTCTATTTCAATTATGCCTACCACCTCAAAAGTTGTTCCGGCCAACATTACCAACAGCTAAAAGGAGATAAAACTTTAATAAAGCAACTTTATTAAAGTTGATGTCCATTATTCAAAAGTTGGAAAAGAAAAAACGAACTTTCAAAATCATGGCAGACAAAAGACTATTGCAATTATCTTGCTAAGATTCTTCAAGCAAATTCAAGAAATTTTCAAGTCCGGAGTTGAAGATTTCAAGTATAAAAGCAGATCAAGACTCAAGATCTCTTCTAAAGTTTTTGGCGGGAGAAAAACTTCTTCAAAAACTTTAGATTTCCTTGTAATCTAACTTTTCTTTTATCTATTTGTAAATTTCAATATATTTTGTATCAAAAATCTTTATTCAATAAAATTATCTTCTTTAAATCATTCTATGTGTTTAATTTAATCTTTCGTCATCTACCTCCATCTTCCTATATACACATATACACACACACACATATATATGTATGCATATATAATGGTGTAGGTGTAGTACATATGTGTGTGTAGTGTATATACATACGTACATATGTGTATATATATACACACACACACATATGTATAGTATATATGTGTGTGTGTAGTGTATATACATACGTACATATGTGTATATATATACACACACACACACATATGTATAGTATATATGTGTGTGTGTAGTGTATATACATACGTACATATGTGTATATATATACATACACACACATATGTATGTATGTGTGTGTGTGTGTATATACACACATGCGCACGCGCTCACACACACATATATGTGTGTGTGTATGTATAAATATATATGCGTGCGTGTAGTGTATATACATACGTACATATGTGTATATATATGTATATACATACACACACACATGTGTGTGTGTGTGTATTGCTTATGATAACCCAATCCACCACTTGTTGTCCAAGGAGATTCAAATGCCAGCTTGTGATGGCTTTATGGTGTTGTGATCATAACTAAAAATCTCCTTTTCAGATAGCCATCTTAAATTTATTCTGTGCAGTGAAGAGGGAGCCAAGCAATCTATGTACTCAGTTTCAATCCAATAGTACTCTGTATAGCTGTAAACTCCAGGAAAATGTAACAAACAAGATCAAATGTAACATATTCTTAAAGTAGGATCTAGTTTTCCTTGCTTTTGTCTTAGTATAATTTCTTGGACATCTAATTCACTAATAAATACTACCCTTTTGTGCAGCCGTCCCAAGTGTAAAATGCATTTTGCAGCAGATCCTTGTATCCTGATGAAAATGGATATGGATGGAGGTATTTCCAGCTGGTTTGCTTTATATACTTTCTTCAATTTACATTTGCAAGTTGTCTAAAAATGCTGTCACAATTTCCTTTATTTATTTTTACTCACGAATGGTTCTTGATAATAAAATTATTAAACTTTCCTTTCAATCCTTGACAATTCTTCGAACAGATTTTCTCATAGTCCACCAAATGATTGAACCTCATAAAACCCAGCAAACTTTATATACAAATGCGTATATGTCTTACTGTTAATTAGTGTGATAAGTCTTATATCGAACGCATCAGGTGATGATCAAATTTTAATTGCACCTTACAAATAATGCAACAAGCTGGTTAGCTTTTTGTTTACTTTTTGCTGTAAGAATAGCATAATGAAGGTTACATTATTATGAATTGAAAAAATAATTAATGGGATTAGTGTGGTTTAAGGTTTAGGGATAGTAAGCATGGATAAGTTGTTCCTTTCATAACTTTCAGAGGAACGACAAAGGTGACAAGATAATTTTTTGCGACAATCTAAAGATGCTTCCTGTCATAAGAGTAACAAGATTTTGGCAGGGCAAGTTAAATAAGGGAGAGAGAGACCAAAATTAACACGACTAGTTTTAATTGCTAAAATCTAGTTGCATTAAATGTCCCAGAAGATCTAGCAAAAATTGAAATGGTGGCAAAGAAAGATTCATGTAGCTTACCTTGTATGGATAAGAGATCCAACATCTATTCTGGGGTTGTGTCTGATTTAAGACTGAAGAAAGATTTCATCACCGCTGTTTCTATTAATAAGGCTTCTCAAAGCTGGGAATATGGTGTTGGAGATTGAAATGATCGAAAGAATTCTGAGTTCGTGCAAATTTGACCTGACATACATAGTGAATTTATGGAGTGAAGCCAGCTAGGAATGGTCACCAGACTTCTCGATTTTCCGCAGCTCTTTTGCAACAGTCATCATATCTGGCCTCTCTTCCCCCTTCTTTTGAATGCACCTCAAAGCAAGATCCAGGAAATCTTGCAATTGCTTCCCTGCTTCATTCCCCCCTTCCTCTATAATTTTCTGATCTACAAAAGGTTTTACTCGATCCTTCTGAAAACAGCCTTTATAGCTCTCTGAGGTGGCACAGGCTGTTTCTTCTACTGGATGGGGCCATATAAATTGTTGTCCTGACATGAGATTGAGTAAAAGCAAGCCAATGCTATAGACATGAGTTTTCTGGTTCACGATCTTTGAATCTGTATATTCAGGGTCTATAGAACCACATTGCCCCAACAGAACATCTTTCACCTGGAATTCTCCTGGAGGAAGCATTATGGAGTTTGAAAAGTCAAAACAATTTAGTAACACCAAATTGATCAACGATCACTTTATCCGTCCTTAGCTCTTTATAGATCACTGGCCTGGGAAATGCATCATGAAGATAAGCAATGACATAAGCAATATCAGTTGCGACTTTCAGTCTGCTTTTCCAGGGTAAAAATCTATCGCTGTTCGGGTAGTAGAGTAGATCAGTAAGAAGTTCATTTCCAGCATCTTCGTATACCATAACCGGGTGTTTGAATTCCAGGCAACAGCGTATGAGCTTCATTACATTTTTGAGGTGGCTCATTTGTGATGTAATCACTATATCATTGATGGCACCATTAAGTTTCCGGGGGCAGATTAGTTCTTCGTGGAACTTCTTCACTAAAACCGGGCGATCTCCCAAACATCCTTTGAATAAATAACCATTTTCACTGATATGCACAAAGTCCGCGATGTCATTTGTCGCCCTGATGATATCTTGGGCAGAGAAGCTAGCAATAGGAACTCTATGGCGCCCATCAAAAGATGCAACAAGTTCCTCTAGTAGCTCGCCTCCATTCTTCAAGAAGGCGACTGATATTTCTTCCTTCTGATTAGTTCTAAAGCATGACACCAACCAGTGTCCATGGAACCTGATGCTCAACAGATAGATTGCTGCTCCCTATCAGTCGCCCTGTTTCCTGAAAGAAAAGATCGAATGTTGTCTTGGGCTATCAGGAAATTTATCAGTTTGGAATTAGGAGGATACACAAGAAAAGACTACCTAATTTAGGACTTTATGGTGCTTAAACTGAAAGAAGAAGAAACTGAGAGAGGACAGCATAATTATTTGATTTCGACTGTTGATAAGGAAATACTTTTGAATGTGAAAGCAATAGAGTGGTAGAAGATTCTCTCTTTGTAGGGTATAACTGCCTCATATCACAATTGACTTTTTGTCAAGTTTCAGGACAAAGAAGCAACTTGTCTCATAAAGAATTGATTTTAAAAATATGATCCAAGAAGTGACCTGGATATTTAAAATCTGTACTTTGGCTAAGCTTAAAATTTTCTTTGTTTAGAGTAATGTTTACTTATACTTATGGTCAGATTTGAGTTTGCTCCCCAATAGTTATCAGTTTGAATTCCCTTAGAGCCATTGAAATTAGTATCCGGTTGTAAATTTTAGAGTTTCGTAGGATTAGTCAAGGTGCATATAAACTAGTCCGAACGCCCATGGTCATAAAAAAAAATGTTTACTTGTACTTAAGTAAACTTTTTATAAAATAATATTTCTATATTAGTCAAAGTTTGAAAAAAATTCTAAGTTACTTAAACCTTGTTTGGGAATAGATTATAATCGATTTAAAATATGAATAGATAGAAATGAGTGTTGTATGAATGGTAGTACTCTTGGGTCCTACAAAATGTGTGTGTCAAAATTAGGTTGGACCGATTATGTTTATAAATTAAATAGGTGCCAAACAAGCACTTAATTTGAAAGTAAGCCACACATTACTGTCAAAATAAGTATCTTCTTTTAGAAACAAGAAGTTACTTAAAAGGTAAATTTAAGTGACTTTTAAGTTAGCCAAATATGTTGATCATGTGAGGAGAAAAGGCAAATAGTCAATTAAATTTGTAGTAGACCATGAAATGATTCTTGACCTTTATCGTATTCGTGGGGCAAAGTGAGAATACCATATATTTTGTAAGTTTGTATTTGTAACTTAGTCAATCCGACGATGTTTTTCGTAGTCGGTTCAAGCCTTGGTAAAAATAGAGGGTTACAGGTTAGGTTGATCACCACTATATAATTTTTTCAATAATGCATTGAAAAAAGATTTATACAGTCGACTTTAAATTTACCTTCAACAAGGTTTGTCGCTATCTGAGCATGCCCATGTTTATGCTGTATATGGATTTCTTTGGAGGGTGACAAAACTTTGCCTCGACAGAAAATAAGGGTAGTATCTATTAGATCTTAATGACAATCTTAATGAAAACAAAATCTGGCTCAACTATGTGCTTCTAGTTGTTCATCCCATATTTTACTGAGTTTGATATCAATGTTATGGTATTTTTTAAATTTATTATTATTATTATTATTTTATTCCGTTCTTCTTAAATCCCTCTGTTTTTACTTTTAATTTGTATTCTTTGTTTTGTTCATATGAAACATAAAAGAAAAGAACCAGAAAAAATAATTGTTTTTTGGGAAAATAAGAGAAAGGAACTATGTAGGCAACCGGAAAGAGTTTCAACTTGTTTATCCATCAGATGGGAGAAAAACAAAGAAAGTTATGGGTAATTGAGCGATGTGGGATGCTATTAGAGTCGTTACATACCACTCTTCCTTTCAGATCTGACTTTTATAATTCATTCCATCTTATTGTTGAGCTCAAGGTCGTCTCTTTTGTCCTCTAATGATCAACCTTTACTCATCTAGCAGGGAACCTACATCATTGCCAAACCAAAAATGGAAGAAGAGAAGATGGAATGATCTGTCGAAGGCTCCTAGTGGAAGTGAGAATAAACATTTGTCAATAGTACACTGAAAAAAGATTTATACAGTCGACTTTAAATTCACTGTCAACAAGGTAGTCTTCGGATGGTGACAAAACTTTGCCTTGAGGTTGCAACCTCAAGATTGACATTCTTTGCAATCAAACCAAAAAAGAAAGGAAAGAATCATCAAAAACTATCTATTCTTCATATTCGTAGAACCTACTATTGAGCTGTTGGATCTTGACTTTAGCTGATATGATTTGGCTAGGGTGCATGTCAAAGCAAGATCCAGGACAGTCTAAAATTGGTTTTTTGGCACCATTCCTCCTTTTCTTTCAAAATTCTCAGGTCAACAACTAGACGATAGTAGATAATAAGAAAATGTCTCTTGCATAGAATCTTCGACCTCGAATTTTCCAAGAGGAAGCATCATTGCATCAGAGAAATCGAACATTTTAGCAACATTCTGGTATATGATCACTCTGTCTGGTCTCAGATTCTAGCCTGAGAAATGCGTTGTGAAGCTGTGAGCAATCTTCAATCTATTTATCCACAACAATCTATGTTCAAATTCTAGACAACAAGTAACTTCAAGACATTCTTGAAGTGATGTTTTAACTATATCACGAATATATCCGTACAAAATCCATGAATTAACAGTTAAGTACGCATGTATAGTTTTCATAAATAGTCAATAATAATCTGTTACCAACTCAAAACTTGAAAGAGGAAGGTTGGAGTAACGTAAATGTTTCTTATATCTTATGAATTCACATAAAGAACGCAAATTTAAATTTATTTCCTAATGTATCTGAAAAAAATTTGTGACCCTCAATTTATATAACTCAAATGAATAGTTCGTATGCTAAACATAATTTTTAAAGCTACAGACAAATCCAGATATTTTTCATCACGAGCTAAAGTGGTGTAGCATAATTGGATTCTCGAAAAATAAGACGAAAGCAGATTAATCGATTACTCGAGTTTGAGAATCAAGATCTCCAAATCTAGGAGCTAAAGCACCTCTATTATTCTCTTTTTTGCGTAGTGCAAACTTTTACAACGGATGAATTAAATAGAAAGAGTCAATCGTGTCACACTTTAGAAGAGTTGCTTTTGTCTGAATATCCTTAAAAAAAAATAAACATTAGTTAATTCCAAGAAAGAATTGTTATCAACGCAAAGCAGATTAATTGACAATAAATTAATAATTCTTCAACTAGCTCACCTTGTCTGAACTCTGTTAGTTAAAGCATGTTCTTCCTCACTTTGTAATTTACCACCAAAAAAAGACGAAAAGAAAAAGAATTTGAAGCCCAATCAAGAAAAAAGCCAAACAAGGCACAAACATTGTCAATTACCATACTAACCTCTACCCACACAACACAACCTTTCACAAAGATGCAAATATTAACTTGATCAAGGGTGAAATTGGAACATACTCTGCACTCCAAATAGAAACATACATCTGATCCGGGCCATAAGCAAGAATCAATAAGCTCGGCATCAAGACGAGAATGAGGCTAAAGAGAGATGGGATTTCTCTAAGGGTGGTTGCCCCTCTCTTTTTACCAGTGATTTCTCCATTAAATCAAATCAACAGCCCTTAAATTCGAAGGAGAAAAACATATGTTGTATGTATATATATACACAGATAACTTGCCATTGATCTTTATATTCACACCACAGTTTTGCTCTCACTTTTCCGATGCTGTGATCTGCTGAATATGAGGCTGTGATGATTACTTTCCTCTTGCTGAGCTAAATCCGATTGGGAATTGAGATAAATCGACACGTATCTTGGCATGGCGACCCGGATGGCATCAAATTAGGGCTTGTTTGTTGCAACCGGAATTCGCAGCCATGGCGTGGTCGGATTCTCTCTCTCTCTTCACCTGCACAGATCTGAGCCTCAAATTTTCTTGCACCGTGTTTGGCTAAGCTTAACTTAGGCGTAATTCTTTTCCAAATGTTTTTACTTTTAAGCCCTAATTTGAGCCACATTATTTTTTTTATAATGCATTTTTGAATACTGTATTTATGGAAAATGTGTGGTTAAAAAATAAAGAAAAGTTTTGAATTTACGTGTAACATTATTTTATTGATGAATATGTAGTTGAAATGATATCAAATCACTATTTAATAATGTATTTTTTTTTAAATGTGACTCAAATATGACCTTAGTAAAAAATTAAAGAAAAGAATTGTTTACAGTATTCATAAAATTGCTTTCTTTCTCAATTTTGAGAAGTAAAAAAAAATTAAAAAATATATATATATAGGGTCGTGCTACACGAATATAGGGGTTGACACAACGGTTGATATAGTACACACATGGAGAGATCGACATTATTTTATTCGCACGGGATTCACGTCTCGATTGTGAGTGTGGTGTCATCTTTTGTGACAACATTATCTTCGTTTGACATTTTTCATATATGTATATATATATTTTTTAGCATTTATGAAAAGTGTTGATAAGTGGTTTGAATTATAAACATAAAAAATGAACGATATGTAATATTTATGAATCTCTTGAAACTTGTAAATAAAAAATTGTTTGAATATTTATAAACCTCAACAAATATAACTCTCCTGAGAATAAATATATCCATATCCTTTTATGATAATTTTTTTTTAAAGCTTATTAAGTCCCTATTTAGTAGATTTTTTTATAATATTATTTAAGAAAAATAGAATTTTGAGTAGTAATTTTTAAAAGAATGTTGTTGAAAAGTATGAAAATTTTTTGAGTTTACGCGCAGAGTATTTTATTGTGTTAATGTGTAATTGAAATGAGTATTAAAAAAAAAAGAGAATTTGAAAATAATTGTTGTCAAATAGGGGCTATGTTAAAAATTACGAGAAATATAAAGTATGCTGTAAAAAACTAGATATTCAAAGAAAATTATAATGAAAATAAATTTTTAAGAAAAATCGCACACCTGTCTTTTTTAACTTATCTTAACTTTCTTTCTTTTATGATGGAAAATAAAAGGTCTAATGGATGGCTCCCTATATATAACACAAAAGAGGTTGATTCACTTAATAACTTCGTGGAGTGAAAAGACTTAAGCTTTACAACTCAACAGATGAAGAAAAAACGAGAAGGAATTTTTTTTCAAAATTTAGGAAATGACAAGAAATATAAAGACTAGATAAAGATTTGCCAAGAAAAAGAAAGAAGAAATAGGAAAAAGGAAAAGAATGCTCGACCCAATCCGTGGCTCCAATGACTTCCCAACTTGTCTTCCTCGTCTACTTGATTCTCCTTGCCCTATGCCCCTTGTAGCTCTCTTGTGATTTCTTATCATTTGTTCCCTTCCACTTCATCTCTTCCATGTGCATTCCAAAGGCTTGACAAGAAAGAAGAGCAAACTCTTATATTCACCAAACTAGGGTTGACAATAATATAACTATTTGTTAATTTTGTCAACAAAAAAGAATAAGTCCTCACCAACTAAATTTTCATTGACATTATCATACCAAAAATTAGCCATTGTAAAAATTATTATTGACTCGGTCTCCAATTGTGTATTGAGTCAAAGAGGAGCAAAATGGAGAGAAGTGGCAATGAAGATGATGAGAGTTGGGAGCTTTCTTTCCTTCATATTTTAATTAGGCGGGATGAATGATGACACAGTTAGAATTTCAATGACAACCCTAAAAAATTGATGATTTAATAGTTTTTTCAATTAAATTATATAGAAAGAGCATGTCAATTTGAAGCTTCCATGTTAAAAAAAGAAAAGAAAAGAAAAAGGATTTCAAATCATAATAGAATAAATTCGACAAATTACCGAAAAAAATGAAGCTTCCATATTAAAAAAATAAAATAAAATAAAAACAAATCCATTGACCAACAAAATACCCAAACTACCCTCCTTGCAGTCCAAGCATAAAAGAGCCACGTACCAACTAAATTGTACCCTATGCTACCAAAGCTGTACCTTTACTCCGCGTGTATGTCAGCGGGATAAAAACTCCATTCTTTTCCGTTCTGAAAACTCTTCTCTCTCTCTCTCTCTCCTTATTCTTTGCGGCCCTCGAAAGCCGTTCTCTCTCTAAAACGCACGAATAGATACATATATTTGTGTGAATCTATATGCCTTTTGATTGATAAATAATTCTCCATTGATTTAAGGCGTTCTTATCCTGAATTTGTTACCAGGTATGAACTTTTTTTACTTTTTTTAATGAATTTGCATTACCGTGTATGTGTGTGTCGGCATTGGCACTTTTCAGCGCTTGAATTAGAGATTTGATTTTGCTTAGATTTAGGGTTTCTTAAGCCGCGTTGTTTCTAAGGTTACATATGTCTGTGTATTTGCCTAATTTTTCTACCTGCATTAATACGCAGACTCGAAAATCAGAATCCCATCAATTAATTTGGCTATGAATTGCTGGATTTCGATTGAGCTTCAAAGGAAGGTGGAACTTGATTGGTCTTTTTAGAGTTTCATTATTTTGTATGTTAGTGAAATTAAGTGATCTTAGCATTGACACTAGTAGTATTATGCTGCCTTTTCCAACCTTATTTATATGACACATAATTATCTGTTTATGAACTGTGATAAATTACATGTGTATCACACATTCGTCAACTAATTTCTTCATTTCTTATTTTTCTGTATTAGCTAGCTTTTAGAAATATTCCAGTCTGCACCATTTTTGCTTCGACATTTTAAAGCCCTGAGTCTTTGTGCCAGAATAGTTTCATTGTGTCAGAGTTTCTACAATTTTTTTCTGTCCTACTGCTCTTCAGTTCCTTTTATTTATCCCTGTTCTTATTTTTTATCACCAGATACACCAGGGTTTTTGTAGGAAAGTGTTATCTGTTTGATGGTTACTGCTACAAAGGTTCCTCTTCTTCTGTGACAAATCCTGTTAAACGAGTTAATTATGTTTACTGAGGTAACAGAAGGCAAAGATATCAATGATTGCAAGGAAGAAACATCTGATATTGATCTTAATCATGACATTGGAAAGTTATCAGTGTCTTCGCAAGTGCCCGGACCCTTATTTATGAGAGCTGATGAGTCACCTATGAGCTTGGTGAGATCTGAACTTTCTGGTGCCAATCATCTTCTTCCGTCTTTTGATTCTATCAGTTTGGCTGAGCTTCATGAGCAACAGGATGATGTTGCAAAAGAAACCATTAGATCTAGTGGTTTTGACCCTATTTGCGGTGCTATTCCATCTGAAGAGAGAGTAGATGAAGGAAAGGAAACTATCAAATTTGAATCTTCTCACTCTGTTCACATTGCTGGGCCAACTATACAGAGAGATGATGAAAGTGAGGATGTAGTTAAAGACGACAATGCTCTTGAAAATAATCATCCTTTAATTGTTTATGAATCAACTCAGAAAAGTAGTGGGCGCAAGATTAAATTAAATCAGAATGGTGATTGCCAAAAACGATCAAGAAAGGGCACGAAAACAGCCAAAAAAAACTTACCATTGGATTTGAGTTCCTTGAAAATTTCAAGAAGAAGAAGAAGTTTATTCTGCAAACGAGCTCGTTCCTCAGTTTGGGGATCTGTAGGGAATATATTACAAGATTCTGAAGAACAAGTTATGATCGACCCAAATTTAGGCAATCAGAAACAACGAAGAAAAGTAAGAGGTGGTCAAGGAAATGGCAAGACTGGTAGGAAACAGGCAGGTCGACTTTCGGAAAATTCAACGAGAAAAAGATGGACCCCAACTGGCCACATCTCTTTAAAGGTTAGAATTGGCAAAGAATCGATCCAAACTTGCCCCATTGGTAATGACATGGATAGTTTTCGTGCAATGGGGAAAAGTATTCCTGAATTATTTAAGAAAACTGAAAATAAGCTGGAGGAAGAAGTGCCCAGCAACCATCCTGAAACTAACTGCCAGGAGGAGGTTGATAATTTTGGGGCATCCATTGATAATAGGTGTTCGGATTCAGGGACTTCGCCTGATTCAGAAGTTATAAACTCAGTTCCAGAACCTCCAATTTTTGGAAAAGGTTTAGAAGAAAATGTAGAAATGAATCCTTCTTCTGGGCTTCATGTCGCTCAGGAGCCATTTAAGTCACAAAGCTCTGAGACATTGTTTCCTTGTATGAAGGGGAAAAAAGTGTCTAAAAGCTCTAGAGCAAAGGAAGGGAGCAAACATACATCTGGAATATTGGATTTATCCAGCAAGAAAGGTAACCCTTCAAAAAGTAAGGGAAACCAGAACAAGTCAGTTGGTAAGCGTAAGGTGAAGGAGAAGGGTGACACTAGCCGTTCCCTCTGTAGAGCAGAAAGCCACCTGGCAGAAGGTACTATTTTAAGTTTCTATAAATAGATGTATTTATGAAAAATTGCTCTTTCCCTCTCTCATTGCAAAAAAGGAAAAAAGAACAAGTTTAAGAGCATGTTTTTGCTGTGGTTAAAAGTTACTTCCCTATAAAGTAAGGTACTTATTTTCTACAGTGACCTTACTTTCTAGGGAAGTGAGTTTTTATTTGTGAAAAAAGTCACTTTAAAAATCATGTTTGGCATAATAAATAACTTAAAAAATAAGTTTGCCTTTATCTTAAAGCACAACCGATCATGCTTTAAATGAATCCCAAATTATTAGATGTATAACATCCTGCTCGACCTGGTTATCTATTCTAAATTTTAACTAATTTTGTAGAAAATAAAGCATTATCTCATCTTGGAGAAAGTGATTGCTCAAACAAAACTTCAACTATAGAGAGAAACAGCTTGCAAAGTTTGCCTGGTGGGGCAAAGGATCAATATGTTCCAAGAGATGCGTGGGGACGTTGTGATGATTGCCATCAATGGAGGCGCATACCGGCTACACTTGCTGATCTAATTGGAGATCCAAACTACAAATGGTAAGCAATCTTGTTTGTTGCGTTTAAGCTGTTTAATTATGCAATGGATATTAATGTGGTATAGGCAGCTTGCCATTGTATAGTGGCCATGGTATGCCTTATGTCCACGGCTTAGTCTGGAACCTCTTTATGATTAGTCAACAGATAGTTTCCTGCTGTAATTACCCTTCATAGCTAACATATAAAAAGGCTTGATCTAGTACTGAGGCACAAGGCGTATCTTATTTTTCTGGTCCTGTTGGCTGGCTCATCTTGTAAAGTTTTCTTTTTACTCTGTGTTTAAAGTATCGCTAGCATTTCCACAATTATATGTGTAGTGTTGTGTGGATAATGCGATTGTGTAATAATTTAAGAAGAATCAAAATGGTTGGTATTGTGTAGCGAGTTAGGTATACCTGTGGTCGTCTTTGGTGAATTCAATTATATAATATTATTTGTGGTAAGCATTTGCTTTTAATATGGGTTGTCACATTTCTTAAAGATATTTACTTCCCACCATTTGGGGGTTTGGAAGTGTGGGAGAAGTGTGAAATAGTCTGTCTTTGAGATAAAAAAAAAAAAAAAGGTTTTTAAAATTGTTCCAAATAATTTTTTCCTTCAGATAGTGTTAGTTCTAGTTCATGCATCTTTTGGGATTGGTTTAAGTTTCTACAGGGCTCATTGTCAGTAAAATCTTTTTAAGACAAAATGCTTTTATGTATAAGAACCCTTGAGAAATTTAAAATAGATCATGATGATTTAGTAGAAGTTTTTGACCTCGCTCTGGTAGGGTTTCAAGAAGTTTGAACGATGGGAGATGCAATCGTAACATTATTGGAACAGTTCATGCCCAGAACTTGTAAAATCACACTCATCCTGATTTAAAATAGATCATGAAGATTTAGATGAATTACTGTACCTCCTCCTGGTAGGTTTTCAAGAAGGAATGATGGGATATGCAAGCAAAGTATTGTTGGAACAGTTCATGCACCAGAACTTTTTAAATCATATACTCATCTAGCCTTGATTCTTAAATTATTATTATTTCATATCCTATCTCGGAACTTTCGGCTGACTGCTAGGTCATTTAAGGTAACATCCACTTGCATATTTCCCTTATTTGATGGTTTATTCTGAGGGAAGACTTGAGCACAAGCTTAAACATTCGGTATTAAGTGAAATTATGAAAGCGGTATAGCTCTATTGAATTCAGAACATGAAAGTACAGCAGTAATTCTGTCTTAATTGTGAAGAGAAGTCCTGAACGTCGAGCCTTGGTGGGGTGTACTGATTACGATTATTATTTCTACACATGAGATTTTTTCTTGTTCTCTGCAGTTGAAATGTCCTTTTTGTTCTTATGTTTTGTTCGTACTGAAGGACTTGCAAGGATAACAAGGATAAAGACTTTGCTGATTGCTCAATTCCACAAGAGAAATCAAATATCGAGATCAACGAAGAGCTGGGAATATCCGATGGTTCCTGTGAAGATGATTCTCCTGGTGTCTTCTCGAATTCTAATCCCAATCAGTCAACAGGTATTTGGTCTCCACAATAATGTTGCTCCATCCTTGTCTTTTGAATTCATTGAAAGCTGATGTACTTCTTGTGCTGGAACTTTGAGTTATCTTTATATTTTTTGCAGCTCCTCAACATTCATTTTGGAAGCTTATCAAGTCAAACTTGTTTCTGCATCGAAGCCGTAAAAGTCAAACTATTGATGAGGTAAATGCGAATGCATGTTTGTTACGTTATAGTATCAGAATTTGTATTCATTTTGCATTAACCTCTTATACTGTCCCAGTATATATTATATTGAAATTACTGATTTGATTGCAATGAATTTGGCATAGAAATAACTTTCATTTTCATATGATTTAATGCATATTAATATATAACTATTGTCATTCATGATAAAAAAAATTTGCACACCACTTTTGAATGCTTATGTAAGTAGGTATTACTCACCTGGAGATGTTTCTTAATTGGTTACGAAATTTCTGATTAAATAATTTATTCACAGAACAAACACTGAATTTTTTTTTTTTGATAGGTAATCAAATAATTTTATTACTTAAAAGAGAATACACAGGGGTGTATAATCACTTTAAGTCAGTAAGGAACAACATGACATTAGGCAACCCGTCTACATGACTTTTAGCTACGGCATTGAACCAAGAATACAGAGAAAAGTAAAATGTTTCTCTTATCTTTGTTTGGTTTTCGAAGCAGCGGTTATTCCTTTCTCTCCACACGCACAATACAATGCAACCCGGGATAATGTTCCATGCTAGTTTGCTATCCTTATCATGGAGTTTTCTCCTCCATGCCCGTAGCACGTCCTCTATATGACGAGGCAGCACCCAATCCATAGATTGAGAAGCGAATATACTGTTCCAAAGCTAATGAAATAAAAACCTTTTGAAGATTATCCACCGTTGAGACCTGTGCCCTCACAACTGTCCATAATAAGAATGCCACCTGAGGAGGCAATTTACATTACCACGCCAACTTACAGGGGAATGAACTATCCACCAATCTCAGGAGGGAACTAAAGTAAGAGCGAACTGAGAAACTACCATCTCGTGCTATTCTCCACCTGCTATAATCACCCTCTCCTACCAGAATTTCTCTCTCATGTAGAGAGGTGATAAACAACTAACCCAATCCTGTAGACCCCTCCCAAAAGTAATATTCCAGTTATAGCTCCTATTATGAATGACTAATACATCACTCACCATAGCAAAAGGTACTGAAGCAATGCGATGCAAGGAAGGAAATCCCTCCTTCAACGGTTGATCTCCACATCAACAATCATCCAAAAACCTAATATTATTACCATTTCCCACTACAAGATTCAGTTTGTCCAGAAAATCACTCCACCCCCTTCGAATATACCTCCACAAACTCATCCCATAAGAATCGCGGTCCTCAACCGTACACCATCCCCCCTCCATCATACCATACTTCGCCCCAATGATTTCTCTCCAGAAGTTCTCCCTCTCCACTCTGAATCACTACAACCACTTGCCTAATAAAGCCTTATTAAACAACACAAGGCTCCTCACTCCAAGGCCCCCCATCCTCACAGGCAAACAGACAATACCTCAATTGATCAAATGGAGTCTCCTCTCCTCTCCCAACCCTGCCGGCAAAAATTCTCTTTGAAGTCTCTCTAATATCTTTGCCACTGTAATCGGAATGGGAACAATGACAAAAAGTAAGTAGGGAGATTGAGAGAGTGGATTTAATGAGAGTAAGTTTGCCTCCCTTAGAGAGGTACATACGCTTCCACCCTGCTAACCTCCTTTCCATTCTTTCCACAATACCATTTCAGATATGGGTACTTTTAAATCGTGTTCCTAACGGGAGCCCTAGATATGACATAGGCAGCTGCGCAACCTTACAACCCAATATATCAGCCAGCTCCTCCACGTTATCAACCTTCTCTACTGGAATAGTCTTAAATTTCCCCAAATTGATCTTTAAACCAGATACCGCTTCAAAGCATAGGAGCAGACGACGCAAATTCCTGAATTGTTCAATATCTGCGTCGCATAAGATCAGCGTGTCATTTGCAAATAACAAATGGGACACCTATAAGTGATCAACCATAAAACCCCTTAACAAACCCGCTCTCACAGTTTTTTCAAGCATCCTACTGAAAGCCTCCATCACAATAACAAATAACAATGGAGGAAATGGGTCCCTTTGTCTCAAGCCTTTACTACTCTGAAAATGACCCTCAAGTGTTCCGTTGACCAAAATTGAGAACGAAACAGTAGAAATACAGAATTGAATCCATTTATACGACTTATTCCCAAAGCCACAACGCCTAAGCATATACAACAGGAATCCCCAATGTACATGGTCATAAGCTTTCTGAATATCGAGCTTACATAACATCCATGGAACCCCTAGACGCATTCTTAAATCTATGCATTCATTCGCTATAAGCACAGAGTCCAAAATCTGACGCCCTTTTACAAATGCATTCTGAAACTTGGACACTACTTTCCTCAGCACCTCCTTTAATCTGTTTGCCAGGACTTCTGCTGTAATTTTATACACCCCACTGACAAGGCTAATAGGGCGAAAGTCCTTAATATCAGTCGCTCCCATTTTCTTAGGGATCAGCATAACAAATGTAGCGTTAGAACTTCTCTGGAACCTGCCACGTTCAAAATAATAAGTTAGTATCCACAATGTCCGGTCTCATCACATCCTAGCACGCCTTATAAAATGAGAACGAGAAATCGTCAGGTCCAGGAGCCTTATCATCGTTCATGCTAAACACTACCTCCTTAATTTCATCCTCTCCAAATGGTCTCTCCACCCAACTAGCATCATCCTCCGTGATAGTAGAAAAATCCAATCCCTCCAATTCTGATCTCCATTCAAATTGCTCCCGATAGAGATTCTAATATAAATTCACCAGTTGGCTTCCAATTTCCTATGGTTCCTTATAAGTAACCCCATTCACCTCCAATGCTGTGATGAAATTGTTCCGCCCATTAGAATTTGCGACCCTGTGGAAGAACTTAGTGCATTTATCCTCCTCTTTCAACCAAGTAATCCTAGATTTTTGTCGCCAAGCAATCTTCTTTATCTCTACCAACCTCTCCATCTCTTCCTTTAATACTCTACGTCTCTCCTTCTCATCCCTACCAACCTTTGACTCTCCTCCCGCCTATCCTATTCTTCTATCTCTGACAGACACTGAATTTACGACAGTTTACATTGCCCACAACCTCGTCATTCCGTTTCTTTAAGTCCCCTTTCATAGCCTTAAACTTTTGATCCAATACAAAACTGGGAGGCCCCTTGACTTCATAAGATGTCCACCAAGTCTGTACTTGCTCCCTAAAACTTTCTACTTTCAACCACATCTTCTCAAATCTAAAAGGCATTTTTCCACCACCCCTCCTGTTCCCAGATAATATAATAGGGAAATGATCCAAGTACACCTTCCCCAATCTTCTCTGAGTGACATCTGAGTAGTTAGACTCCCACTCCCCACAAATCAAGAACCTATCTGTACGAGACAAGACGGGTGGGTCCTGATTAGATGACCAGGTAAAATCTCCCTCAATCATAGGTAAATCCACCAACAAATTCTCCCTAATAAAATCTGAGAAATCCTCCATTGCCCTAGTTAGTCTCCCACCATTTGACTTCTCAGCAGGAAATCGAATCACATTAAAATCATCCCCCAATACATGTTGGGAGGTTCCACTAAGCCATCATTCCAACTAATTCATCTCACAAGCCCACTCCACTGTCATCAGAATTAGGCTCATAAACTCCTGTGAACATCCACCGAAATCCATCCTCACAATTTTAAAAGAAATCGATATAGAGAATACGCCTATACTCATCTCCTCCATCTCAAGCACTCTAGTGTCCTACTTCACCAACACGCCTCCTGATACCCCTGATGACCCTAAAAATTGATACCCTACATGTTCCCCCCCATAAGCTACTAACCACCGCCCTCGAGATGAACTCCATCTTAGTTTCTTGTAAGGTTTGCCCCTATCCCCTTAGCAGATGTCGAACCCCAAGCCTTTTTCCAACCTCATTGAGCCCCTGTACATTTTAGCTAATGAGTTTTGGCATCATTTCAATACTCCGTCAACCCTCCCCATTATTCCTTTCTTGGACTCGCCACTTTTACCATCATAATTTACCGACCATTCAAGCCTCTTAAGTTCGCGATCACCCTTTCTTCTTAATTTACCTCCATGTGTAGTGATCCTTTGTCCCCTATTTGCCTCCAGCTCCTCGAATAATTGTAGCAGTCTACTTTCATATACATCTCAGGACACGCCAACCAACTTACTGAATTCCTGAATTGTTTGTAGAACCCAGTTCGAAGGTGGGTGTCCAACTTCAAACACATTCGCTTCCGATGTTTCCTCTTCGTGATAGCTCTCCAGATGATCAGAGGACCGTCCTTTCTCTTCCACCACTTGTATAACGTCACTATCTTTCTCCCTTCTTGGCATCATCTACACACAACAACAGAGTTTTTTCTGTCCCAATGTCTCTTTCTTTTGTCAACTTAGAGTACTCCTATTATATGTGTTCGCAATCCTTGATGTCGAATATGTCGCGTCGTTTTCTTTCGCAACGCCTGAAACTAAGTCCTCCGCTAGTGCATGTCTCCTCGCTTGTTCAACTGGTAATAATCTATCAACCTGCAGGATCGTGTACATCGTCTTCAAGTTCTCCATACTTGGCTCCCCTTCCTTAGACAACGGTTCCACCTCCCGGTCTACTGCAATCCCCGTGTCTACATCATTCATGTTCAACCCCACTAAGTCAACCCCGTCGTCATTTTTGTAGCACACCGCTTCCATCTGCTCTTGAGACTTATAAAGTTCAGCTCTTCCCTGCTTTTCATGTTCTGTATTTGATGATAGCTCCTTATGAGTCAATCCCGGTACGTGTATTTTAACAGTTGGATCCTCATCCATCCCAGGCCCACACTTGTGATAGCATACCAACTCCATGGGGCCCGTTTCAGGCCCACTTTCAACTAGCCTAATTAATTCATCCAATGCTCCATTCAACCCTTGGACATGGGCTATTATTTTAGCCTTATTCAAACAACTGTCGTGACCTTCATTTACATTGACTTCAACTGCCCTTTCCTTTTGTTGTAGCATCCGCTGGTCGGCATGCTCCGAAGCCCGTGATTTTGCTCTAACTTTTGCATAAGTCATCCTTTGTTTGTTTCGTTCATTCACCATTCGACGTTTGGCTTATCCCCAACAACAAATGAATCGACAACTGCTTGAAACACCTGCGAGACTGATGCCCATCCCTCTTCATTCGCACCTTCCAGCATCATGACAACTCCTTTCCGACGCCTCTCCTCGTATTGTGCTATCATCAAATACCTACCCCGGCGGTTCACACACTGCTGTGCCAAGAATGCTCTTGAAGACTCATTGAATTTAAAGACACAATCCTCCAATTCAGTAGTCATCCTCAATCTATCCACCATATTCACCATCCAAAGTGCACCATACCTCCCCATATATATTGCATCTGATAACTTCGAGCCCCATTCTGTCATCTTAACAGTACCGGAATCGTTAATAGATACTGCTAAGTCCTTCGCCTCCATGCTGAATCGATGATTGAATACCATACTACGCACCTCCGCCAACTTTTTGCCTTGAATGTGTATACACTGTTCATCTTACGGAAGAACAGACAAGTCGATTGATTGTGGGGTATCGAGCTGCGTCTAGGTCATCACCTATCATGCGTCGGCAGACTCGCATCCGGAGCAACGCATGTGGGGGAGAACATGCCAGCCGGAGTTACTAGTCTCTGCAGAGGTCACTGGTGCAACGCGTTTGCTGGAAAGGTGGTCGGATCTAGAGAGATCTACCGTGTACTCCCAAGATCTCTCCAGTCTTTACCGTATTGTGCCTTCCACCTGGGCTGTCGGCGTTTGCGTCGTCCCCTGCTACCCAGGACGACGCGCCGGGAAAGCGGCTGAAATCCGGGCGGCGGCCCCAGGGTTTTCACCTAGGACCGCCGCCTATGTGTGATGGTAATGGCTGGAGAGGCTAATCTGTGGCGTGAGGCTGGTTCTATGGTGTCTGCCGGGCCGCTGGTCGTCGCCGTCACCTGTAGGTAAGGGTGGTGGCTGGGTTGCGATTGGGTGGTGTTGTGGTGGCTGGGTTGTTTTGGATTGTGGGGGGAGCTCCATCCGGATAGTACCACTTCAAAGTATGACCACATCTATAGAGGATCAACAAGAGAAGAAAATTTGAATTAAGTTTAATAGAAAACTGGTTTACAAAAACCTAGAACAAACACTGAATTGATTTGATGCTTTTGATAAATTCAAGATCGTATGAGCTTATAGTTCTCCTCTTGGTAATTGACATGGAGCATGAGGACAAGAAAATGGGTCATTGGTTTTAGGTGACAGAGGCAGTATATTATCTAGAACGTAGACATCATTATCTAAGTTTCACATGAAGTCTTAATGCGTAAAGGAGAAGTTCCAGTTTAGCATTATGATTTTGTTCATAAGATGGTCAATTCTTCTTGTTAAATTCTATAATTTTTAATATTTGTTATGTTTTTGTATAAATTACTGAAAGAATCGTAAAGAACTATATTCACTAGTATTTTCCACCTCCCATAAAGATTTTCTGGAACTGCTAGAGACATGCTGTTCTTTCTGTTGATGGGGAAGAACTTTCTCTTAAATCTTTTGATGGTCATGTGCAAAATTTTCCTACATCACACGATTCATTTCTTATTTTTGCCTTTTTGCCATAGTCCTATTATCTAAAGTTTATCTTCCATTTTTAATTTATACGAATTGTGAGACAATTATGTTCTACGTATCTGACAAACACCAGATGGGTGATACTTATTATTTTAGTTTTATTTTTTTACACAAGGCCATTGATCCCATTGTTTTTACTTTAATCTATAACCTTCACTATATTAATTTATTTGATATCTATTGGGGGCAGTAGGCTTACAAGCACACAAAGATATAGATACCATGTATGAAATATCTTGGGTTATCACAAGAGCAGTATGATGGAAATCTTTTTCATTACATGCTACCAGCATTTGTGTAGGCTATTATCTTTCCAGTGTGTCAATAGTCTGCACAAAGCTCGTTGAAATGTTCTTTTTGCCAGAGCCTGTTGAAGAACAATAAATAGATATCAAATCAGCTGGATCATATGTTTATTATAAATTCTCCAGTGATGGACATGTTGAAAATGCACTAGTTGGGGTTGATTCCCAATTGAATTTGATTGCTGCCACTGCTCTGACGCTTAGTGATGCTAGAAACCTGGAGCAGAACGATAAATGAATGATATCGTCTCATGCTCCATCTGGGTTCATGTGTACTCCACTGCGTGGGTTTGTGTGAGAATGTGGATGTCTCAGTTATTGACATTATAGATGAAATTGTGCATTTTAGCCTCACCTTCAAATTAATGAATTCTAACTAAAACTTTTGGTTTCTTGCCTCTTCTCATTTATGCATAACAGATAATGGTTTGCCATTGCAAATCTCCGTCAGAAGGCAGAATGGGTTGCGGAGCTAAATGTTTGAACCGGATGCTTAACATTGAATGCGTTCAAGGGACTTGTCCATGTGGTGAACTTTGTTCAAATCAACAGGTGCATTAATATTTTAGCAGATACTACATTCATATTTGAGTTTGTTTTTGTGTTTGAGGCAATTTCCATACATACTCTGGTTGCAGTTCCAGAAGCGCAAGTACGCTAAATTAAAGTGGTTCAGGTGTGGAAGGAAGGGTTATGGCCTTCAGGCACATGAGCATATCTCTGAAGGACAATTTCTTATTGAATATGTTGGAGAGGTAACTTGAATTTCCATTTACTTGGTACTTAAAAGTCTCAGTATGTTGACTTTATACTTAACTAGAACAAATTGGTGATAATGAATACTGTGAATCAAGTTGCCAATGTGGTTTGATCTTATATTTATGCTTCCATTCAATATGTTTGCAATGAAAGTAGGAAATTCTGCGATGCCATTCTGAAGATGCTAGTAAATAAATATTTTCTTTTCTTTATATTCTTCAGGTTTCTCTTGTGCTAGTTATAGTTGTTTTAACCTTACCCAGTTCTTACAGCCTTACACCTTGAGACACACTCTTGCAAAGCTGAACCTCAATGTTTACTCTTTAGTGACACATGTCGATGTTTAACTTACTGAGGTGCATGCTGGGGCATAAGCCTTGGGGAGTTTGAGGTGTGAACTTCTTAGCCTATGTTTGATCTCCAATTTTCCAAAAACTCATTTTTTCAAAACCCATTTTCTACCACACATTCTCCCATAAAATAATTTTACACGTAACCCCAAATTTTCCTCTTATTTTTAACTGCACATTCTCCAAAAATGAAAAACTATTTCAAAATACATTTTCTTCCAAAAATGGGGCTCAAACAGGGGGTCAGTCTTCACCTTCTAAGCCTTTTTTACTTGCTTTAACTTTTTGGGTTGTTTATTTCTTGCTCAGAATATTTTTAGGATTTCTTGCACTGTTAAAAATTTAAAATACCATCCAACTGAAAAACTGAAACAATAGAATTGAAGATTAGAAACATGTCCTATCCTCCTACAGCTGAAGTGAGATAACCCCCCAAACATACACACTAAATAAAGCTGCTATTTTTCAGCTGCATGTAGCTTCCCTCCTCTCTCTTTTATTTATTTTTTCCTGTTGTCGTGTATGTGTATTTGCATTCTTCACTTCTCTTGTTTTTTGCTTTTCCTTTGAGGTCTGGAAAAATTCTTAAATATTTGGTCAGTCTTTTCATTTGTTTTGGACTTATACTTGTAGTTGTAGATTAATGATGTTGTTACATAACCACTACTTCGTTAGTTTATTATTTGCTACTTTGCTACTTTGTCATCCATTTTATGTTAATAGACTAAATTTTGATGAAATGTTTTATTATGGATTTTTGGAGAAATGCATTGATTTCTGAGTGAGCGTTTTTAATCAATGCATTCCTCCTATTTCTTTCCTTTTTTGTCGTATAATGCAATGTGAGCGTGTGCGGATGATAGTAGATTGTGGAATACTTTATTTGTATTATAGAAGGAATCAAGTAATTAGTTTTTGAAAAAATCTTTGCCTTGTCACTAGGGAATACTCTATAACTGGAATAGCCCTTAATATTTGTCTATAATTTTCTGCTACATCTGTGAGAACATATTGAGTGTTGATATTTTAAGTAAGTGCATTGCAGTTTTATATTTTATGACGGTGAAATAAATGTGTATATAAATGTACATGAGATCTTATGATTGTGGTGATCTTCACTTGTATGCCAATGTTAATTTGTGGATCTCTCAGGTTCTTGATGTGCATGCTTATGAAGCTCGGCAAAGAGAGTATGCTTTGGAAGGCCACAAGCATTTTTACTTCATGACATTGAATGGCAGTGAGGTTTGGCCATTACACTTTCTCTTTGTTGTTATATGTGAACAGAAAACGTCTTTTAAGTGATCAAATGCTTTGAAATTCAGAGGATGCCAGCTTCTCATGACATCGTTGCCAAGTTGTAGTTTTTGCTTTTTCCCGTTTCAAGGCACTTCATGACTCGAGTTAACGCCATTGATAACAGTCATTGCATGCAAAATTTTTCTTCTTCTGATCCACAATTTGTCTTTTTGCCATTGGGTTAGAATGAATCCTGACACAATAGACGATGGGATGCTGCAGTGGTACCTTTTTGACAGGAGAAGCCTTCCTTTTTGTCCATCCAAACATGATCTTTTGAAAAGGCTTTCTTCTTTTTCTTAGAAAGGTTGCAGCAAAACCATATTGAGTACTCTCATCTTCTCTGACTTGCGCGTTCAGTCTCTTCTCTTTCTTTTACTCTCGAGATGAGAGCAGCCAATAAAATGAACCATAAAATTATATGAGCCTCATTTATGGTAATTATATGTAACTTAAAAGCACCCAATGTCAACATTTTTATTTCATTATTTACTGGAATTTTCATGAATTTATCACCATTCCAGAATTTCTTGGTAGTATATAACTTCATTTTGTTGATAGGAAACACCTTTTCAAATTTTATTTATATAATTATTGATTTTTGCTGGTGGGATTTTTAAGGTGCAAATGCTGGGGCCTCTGCCTTGTGTACTAGTTGCTCTCTATACTTTTTATTGGAGCTTAGTAATGTTCAAGTTCACAGTAGTTCCTTTCAATAAAAGGCAGTGTCAATGGTTTGAATTTGTACCCTATTTCGGCTTGACATTGTTTTAACTTTTAAGCTTGAATTTGATTCTAGATAAGGTAAGTGAGGCTGGACTGAATTCAAAAGGGCTAATGCATTTGACCATGTTTTTGGGGAAGCACGTGATATATAATATGATGAAACTTGATTTTATCTCTTTGCATTTGTCAAATTGTTCTGAATTCATGCTCATCTGGGTACTTTCATTTTTTCATTTTTTTTATTGGGTTTTACATAATTATTATGATATGTCACTTTCATGCATCTGTTCCAGATTATTGATGCCTGTGCTAAAGGAAACCTGGGACGTTTCATAAACCACAGTTGCAATCCTAATTGTCGTACGGAAAAGGTATTCCCTGGAGTTAAATCTTCTATGCAGTTAAATAGTTTAAGGACAGTTTAGGATGAAGTTCCACGCAGTTGCTGAACATCTTATGTATTATCCTTCCTTCGCGATCAATTCCCCTCCCCATTCAACTCTTTTCTTCTTGATCTTCTCACCACCCTCTTCCCTTTCTGTAGGTTTATAATCTTTTGGTAAAGGTTTGCCATTTTGCTGATCAGAAGCTAGTGATAGCAGAATATTAAATATACATTTCATGTCATTCATGCTCATTTCATATGTCTTCTTGTTTATGACATGTTGTCGAAAAGTTGTTGCTAGATTAAATCAGAAACTATTGTAGTAAACTCTTAATCTACAGCTTTGAAAAAAATGATGTGCTTTTGGTACTGCTAAAATTTTGACCCGGACTTTTTTGACAGTGGATGGTGAATGGAGAAGTTTGTGTTGGACTGTTTGCTTTGAGGGATATTATGCAGGTAAACTCTTTCTTCTAACTATACATTTCTCATTTGCTGAATCAATTGACTGCTGCTGCTTCTCGAATTTGCTGGGTCTTGCATTGTTGTCTGTGAAGAACATTGGAAATCTATGCTGGGAGGTTTCTTCCTCTTTTCATTGTTTTCCCTTTTCCTTTCTCTTTTCCTTTGTTTTTTGGAGGGGGTACTATACCATTAACATATATTGGTTTCGAGTAATGAACATCGCCATATTGTCTTTGAGTAATACACAGTGCTTGGTAACCTTCAGATGCAGATATTGCAGATACAAGGATAGATGGCCTTTGGCTCTCCTGGTTGTAATCCACCATGTTTTGGGTTACTTATTATGTTCTTTTGATTCCAATTCATACAGTGATTAGTGTTGAGAAAAATGCATGCATTCTGATGGTTTAACTATTGTATGTCAGGGTGAAGAAGTTACATTCGACTACAATTACGTACGTGTGTTCGGGGCTGCTGTTAAAAAATGTGTGTGTGGTTCAACTAACTGTCGGGGGTATATAGGCGGCGATCCATCAAATGCTGAAGTAATCGTTCAAGGTGATTCTGATGAAGAATATCCTGAACCTGTTATGATCTGTGAAGATGGTGAGATAGATAATGACTGGAATGGCACAATGACACATTCCTCCAATGACGAAGAAATTACAGCTGCAAAGAAAGCACCAGAAAACAAAGATAGAATGATCCAACCAGAATGTATTGCTGGTCACTTGGAGAACATTTCAGAAACACACACTTCTGAAACTTCAACAAGAAATGAAGTTGAAAGTGTTGACCCTGCTTCTGGTGATGGTTGCTTAATGACTTCAATGTGCCAGAGATATCCTTCTGTTCAACCCATTGATGTATCCTTACAACCAGATGATCTTACAAAAGAAGCTATATCTGCAGTTGAGCACGAGTTTTCTACAACAGAAAGGAACACGACAAATTCGCTGTTCTCTGCTCGTGAAATTGAGATGACTGCCCATGCTGGACCGCCTAAAAAATTGGTTAAAACTAGGAGGAAGTTAAAATCTGGTACTGGTGGAAGAAGCGAAGAATTTATGGAGGATATTCTTCCAAAATCTCTTCATTCATCATCTACAGTAAAGAAGGGAAAGCTTAAAACTGATGCTATGACTGGCAAAAGAACTCCACATGTGGATAAGTCAATTATTGTACCCTACAAACCCAAAAGATTACCAGAACTTTCCTTAAATAGCCATTTTGAAGCAGGTAGATGATTTTCTGTTAATTTTGTTTTGAGGTAATTCTGCTTGTATTTTACTGGAATGACAACTAAATGCTTGCAGTTGAGGAGAAACTAAATGAGTTGCTAGATCCTGAAGGGGGAATAAGCAAGCGAAAAGTAAGTTCTTTCTCTCCTGTTAGTTTAACTGCATTGATTTCTTTTATCTCTCGTCCTCGGTTATCTGGAGCATCTAATACTTTGTTATTTATTTTTTATTTTTTATTTATAGAAGTCAGCGATAATTTTTGGTTCCTTGATCCGAATATTGTTACTATTTGATATCTGAATTCCTAAGTTGCCTGAAGTTGTTATGCCAGTGTTGCGTGTTTTGAAACTGATATTTTTGTTTGCAACTTGTTTCAATTTATTAAGTTGTCTTATTTTCCAATAGGATGCATCAAGAGGTTACTTGAAGCTTCTTTTTCTTACTGCTGCTTCAGGGAATAATGGACATGGTGAAGCCATTCAAAGGTAGTTTAGAGTTGTTACTTCCTATCATGTTTTCTTCTAGTTATTTAGATTTTTTTTCAAGACAGTAAAACCTACTTGTTTATTTTTGAGGGATTGATTCTGTGTGATACTTATATTGTTTCCCGTTTGTACTTTTGTAGCAATCGAGATCTTTCAATGATCTTGGATGCCATCTTGAAGACAAAATCACGGACTGTTCTAATAGATATAATTAACAAGAATGGTAGTTTTCGGTGCTTTTTTATTCAAAATATATGTCTTTCATGTCAGTTATACTTGTTTTACAATTGCAACCATTTTCATGGATGTATGACTTCCCTTATCTTTACAGGCTTGCAGATGTTACACAACATAATGAAGAGGTACAGAAGGGAATTCACTAAGACTCCTATCCTGCGAAAGCTTCTTAAGGTAAGTTTGTTGAAACTGAGGGTGTTTCTTAACATAGTCATTGTGCAATATAATGTTTGCTAACTGGGTGCTTAGACATTTCACAACAATTGAATAATACCTTCTCGGTAAAAGGAATGAATTGCAAGTTTCTTTTGGATAAAGATTTATTGAGTCGAGTAGAACCACAATTGGCTTGCTGAACTGCTCATCTGTAGTCACTGCATGGCAGTCAAAATGCAACACTCAACATAGAAATATATGCCTCGGTACACACAAGCATGCATGTAAATATGTGCTTACGAATAACTGCACAAATTTGTTGGTTCTCTAATGAATCACTTGGTGTGATTGTATTGCTAACCTTGATGCATCAGTATGTCAACCATCTTGTTATATTTGGGCACAATTTTACTTTATGGTTGTGACTCTATTCTTTTCGTCATCATAGAACCATTGGTAACTCAAGTTTTTCACAATCTTTGGAGGTACTGGTTCTCACAACAAGTGTCTATATGGTTTTGAAGAGTTGTTATGTTTTTTCTCCTTCTATTGGAAAGGGGAAGGGAAAGAGGGGACAGAGAATTATATTGTTCACATGCAATAAAGGGGAGGAAACAGAGAAGAAGAATGTGGAAGAACTAAGTGATTCAATGTAAAATAAATGACTTGAACTCAGTTATATTCGCATGTGAAGTTTGCGAGTAAAGCATCAAATGTTGAATGAATGCATGGAACCACTATTACTTAAAGGCATTCCTGTTAATCCATTGTCCTAATGAATGTGTAACTGTATTCAAGTGCATAGTATTCATCTAACGTCACAAGTGATTTTATTGAACCAAATTATTATTTGGCAAGAAAATGGTACCGTTCGAGAACTATGAAACATGTTTAATTAACTTCTTCAAAGTGCAACACTCATCATCTGTAATAGAGGAGTCATGCACTTGTTGTTGGTATTTCTTTAGCACTGGATAATCTAAATAATGCAGTATAATGGATTCATAAAAAATAAGTTTAAGCGATCATTGATGACAGTGATAATAATGATGATGATGATGTTGCTCACATTTGGTTGCTCGCTGTTCTTTCCTGTAGGTGCTCGAGTATCTGGCAATGAGGGAAATCCTTACTCTGGAGCACATAAGTGGAGGTCCTGCATGTCCTGGAGTGGAGAGGTCAATGAATACTTAATAAGTTTCATTTTTACGAGATTTTTTTTCTTTGAGGAATTGGATTAATTTCTGAATTTGCTGCATTGTCTGATTTAAATATCCAAGATCACTTTCTCACTTGCAATGTACAATCACATTATTTAGATACATTCAATTGTGATTAATTAGGAGCATTCCATTAGTGTAGTTGTGGAACCATGTTTATTTCTGATATTTAGTTTCGGATGTGAGAACATTTCATTGTCCATATTATGCAGTTGAAGTCCTGTTTTTGAGATACTTCGAACTTTAAAAAATTTGACTGGTACAGTTTACCAAAATGGTCATCCAAAAATTTCTATGCTTGACAATTTACCTGGGTCTGCACTCGACCATTGATCTCCATCCTTTTGTATATGCACAATCTAGCTCTTATAATTTTGTCAGTTGCTGTTGTTTATTAATAAACCTCATATTCACTCTTTTGGTTTTGGTCAGTTTCTTTTGGATATATATATATATATATATATATTTTTTTTTTTAACTTCTTACTGATATTGTTGCCTGCAGCACAATAGAACAAAGAATTTTGCTTCTCATATGTTTGTTCGAAAGAAATAATTTGTGTTGTCTTGAAATGCTATGAGCAGAGTTTTTCTTAAATCCTAATCTTTTAATTTGGAGTCGTTTAGGTTATTACCTTTCATGCTTAAGTATTTTTCTGAATTGCGCACTACTCTTATTGCAGCTTTAAGGATTCAATATTGATACTGACAGAACATGCAGATAAACAGGTATCATTTACAAATTGTCTTGCATTTTAATGTTAATCTTCATAATTGTGCCTCAATTTTTCTGGTATCTTTTTGATGAAGAATGGAACATATGCTATTCCTGTGAAGGGAGAAAAGACTCCAAAATATTGTGCTTGGATGAAGACAAATTTATGTCTCAAAAATAAAAATATAAAAGTGAAATAATAATACAAGGAAGATAATCCTGGGTAAAATTTTAATTCTGTTCTTAGTCTTTTGGTTGGAGATTTTTGTAGTTGTTCGCTAGAAGTTTTAGAATGTCAAATCTGTTTTTCTAGTCTGCAGCCCTTGGAAGGGCTGTTTGAAACTCTGCCCTTTTTTTCTGTCTTGTCTGGCTCTTGTCTATTTCCTTTTGTTTTAGACTTGGATTAGTATTTGTGGAAGAGAAGAAAACTTATTAGTTGAAGTAAAAGAAAAATCGTGAAAGATTTCTCAAGATGGCAAGATTATCTTCTAATGTAATTTTAGAAAATTCTGACTTAATGATTGAATTTTCTATTTCTACTCAGGTCCATCATATTGCACGGAACTTCCGGGATAAGTGGATTCCTAGGCATATGAGAAAAAATGGCTGTATGGACAGGGTTGCTGGGAGGATGGAATTTCATCCTCGTTCTAGCTACACCAAGTTTTCTGCTGTACATGATCATGGGAGTCAGATAAAACCTTCTCAAGCAATGGAGTGTTTTGAAATGCAGTCCATGCCTGAATCTTGTACGGGCAACACTGGTGTTCCAGACGTCTCTGCCTCAGGTGATAATTGTGGAAACAGCGGCACAAAAAAGCGCAAGCGTAAAAGTAGATGGGATAATCCATTGGAGGCATGCTCGACGCCCAACATCAATGGGGATGGTCCTCCTGGGTTTCTGTCTCCGTGTAATGATCCTATGCTCACATGTGATGCATCTTTGACCTCTATTGATCACCAAGAAGGAACCATGCACATGATGGGTCCGTTTGATGTAGTATTGGGTGATTCACAGCATAAATTCATTTCACGTCTTTCTGTCTCCTATGGCGTTCCATTTACTGTCATAAAACAATATGGGGGCCATGAAGCAGAAGCTTCCAAGGGTTGGGCTGTAGCTCCCGGTGTACCATTCCACCCCTTTCCCCCGTTGCCTCCATATCCCCGTGACAGGAGGGTGCTACCAGCCTCTGCTGCTAATTGTCCGTCACTGGGTCAACGTGCAGAGAAAGCAGAAGCTGGTTTTGATCATTGTACTGATCATTCAGATGAAAGCCATACAAGGAAACCCAGATTTGACTCGCCGGATATGAACATTTCAGATGCAAATGACAGATATGATTTTCAGCAGGGAGGGAGTTCCTATAACTTGGGGAGGAATTACTTTAGGCAGCAGAAGTGGAATCACTCGAAGTTAGCACCGCCATGGGTCCGGAATAGAAATGTTTGGTAATGTACAGGGAACAGTCCTAGCAATGGCATGCGAAAGATAGGTTTAGGAAGTGGGACAATTGGGATACATTTCATGAGCATTGACATTGATAACTTTAGATTTTATTCTATAGGACGATTTTCAAGGAGCTTTGAAAATTTGAATGCTCCGTTTGAATGTACTACATTCTTTGCTGCACAGTGTCACTACAAATTAAATATTCTTTAATCTGTTCAGTTTTATCCTCATTTATAGGCTTTGCTGAGGTTGTTCTGAGAAATTATTTGCTTGCTTCGAAAGTACGAGTTCATTTTTCAAAAGAGGCAAGCTTATCTCATTTTATCTTTGATCCTGATATTAAATTTTAAACATTTTGTGGAATAAAATTTACTACTGCTGTTGCATGCTGATTGTTACTCTTTCCCTCTTTGGTGGTTCTACATATATATATGTTTGTTTGTTTATTTTTTGGGTGGTGGTTGTGGGGAGATGATGGAGTAAGATGGGGTACATCGTATATGGTTCCTCGTACAGTGACGATGGAGGTTTTGGGTCCAAATTCGATTTCAACACGTGTGCATACGCGGTAAGCATATTCAATCTGTAGTAGTTTTCTTTCTTTTCTTAATGTTATTTCTAATTGATTTTTGATATTTATAATAATTAGATTCTTGGAAAGGCCTATGCAAGGTGGGGTCCCTACGGAGTCATCCTGTAAAGTCGGAGTTCCACTTAGCAACAAGAAATATACCCTGTGCAATGAGCTACTGAAATGGAGAGGAACAAAATGTATATGGAGTGGGCTGATGGACTTCAAATACATGGAAACATTCCTTGGTCAGAAATTACTTTGGTAATCTAGTCTCCATTATCATAATATTCAAATTTGAATTTGCATAAGAATTTCGAATATCTCTTTGGAACTTTTATGGCATGTTTGGTAGGGAAGATTAGACAGTATTAAACAAGAAAGTCGTTAAAATTTTGTTCACTCCAGTAAAGTATACCATACGCACTTGAGGATTTTCTTTAGTTTGGTATAAAAGCTGTCCTTTTTGCTACCATTTATAAAAAAAGGTTGAATCCCAACATTGAGGGCCCCACTATCCTGCCTCTAGAGTTTTGTGAGGGAGGTAAATTGCGGGATGTGTCTCGATAGGACAAGGAACAGGAGCTGCTTATACACTGCGCCTACAAAGAGTCCAATTTCATGTATCATTTTGCTACCATTTATGCTGTTATCATTGATCGGGATGCATTTTGGCGTGGATAAATTGGAAGTTAGAGCTATGGAGTGATGAGAGTCTTGAACACTTCTGAGTGGATATAAAAATGGCATCTTTTCATTTCATCCCAACTAAAGCACACATTGACTCTCAAGTGTTGGCACATACAATGATCTTTTGCATATTCTCAAGTGTCCCTGCGTCCGTCGAAGGTCTGGTCTCGAACTTGGTCTCCTAGGAATGCCCAGCTGGCCTACGCTTTCTTTTGCCACGTGCCATCCATTTAGTTTGCTAGTCAATGATTGGTCATTGAAGATGTCTAGAAAGTTCATTTTATGAAATTTTCGGATGATCGACAGGTAGAGATAAATGTTAAATAGTAGCGACAAGAAATTCCCGAGTGGTTTCTGATAATTGCTTATGTGAAAACTCTTTAGTTTATGAATAATTGAAAAATCTTTATCTATTTCATAGCATGGAAAGGGACTACGTAAATTTTCACCTGCAAAAATGGAAAGAGTTTATAATATATTTAGCCAGAGTTTGGTACAGATTAAAATTTTAATTTAAAGCAAAGTTAACAATTAATTTTAACAACACATTTTATAAATCTTCACTACTTTTCAACCTTATAATTTATAAACTTCTATTAAAATTTATTAAAAATATAATTTTAATCCACAGGAAATAGGGGCTTAAATTCATTCCTCTAGATTTTGAATCCAGAAACATTGCATCAGTTGGGTTGTTTGACCATTAAATCATATCATCATGTGAGTTGGGTCGTGAGATAGTTTGGTTTATATCTGGTGAGCATTGAGAAAACATTTCTCTAGCACGAGATAAGCCTGTTTCCCAATAAAATTTGTAGAAACAAGGCAAAAAAGAGTTGCACACATACAATTCCAAGACAATATTTCGGAGAAAAAAATAGGGAATACTCTATAACTGGAATAGCCCTTAATATTTGTCTATAATTTTCTGCTACATCTGTGAGAACATATTGAGTGTTGATATTTTAAGTAAGTGCATTGCAGTTTTATATTTTATGACGGTGAAATAAATGTGTATATAAATGTACATGAGATCTTATGATTGTGGTGATCTTCACTTGTATGCCAATGTTAATTTGTGGATCTCTCAGGTTCTTGATGTGCATGCTTATGAAGCTCGGCAAAGAGAGTATGCTTTGGAAGGCCACAAGCATTTTTACTTCATGACATTGAATGGCAGTGAGGTTTGGCCATTACACTTTCTCTTTGTTGTTATATGTGAACAGAAAACGTCTTTTAAGTGATCAAATGCTTTGAAATTCAGAGGATGCCAGCTTCTCATGACATCGTTGCCAAGTTGTAGTTTTTGCTTTTTCCCGTTTCAAGGCACTTCATGACTCGAGTTAACGCCATTGATAACAGTCATTGCATGCAAAATTTTTCTTCTTCTGATCCACAATTTGTCTTTTTGCCATTGGGTTAGAATGAATCCTGACACAATAGACGATGGGATGCTGCAGTGGTACCTTTTTGACAGGAGAAGCCTTCCTTTTTGTCCATCCAAACATGATCTTTTGAAAAGGCTTTCTTCTTTTTCTTAGAAAGGTTGCAGCAAAACCATATTGAGTACTCTCATCTTCTCTGACTTGCGCGTTCAGTCTCTTCTCTTTCTTTTACTCTCGAGATGAGAGCAGCCAATAAAATGAACCATAAAATTATATGAGCCTCATTTATGGTAATTATATGAAACTTAAAAGCACCCAATGTCAACATTTTTATTTCATTATTTACTGGAATTTTCATGAATTTATCACCATTCCAGAATTTCTTGGTAGTATATAACTTCATTTTGTTGATAGGAAACACCTTTTCAAATTTTATTTATATAATTATTGATTTTTGCTGGTGGGATTTTTAAGGTGCAAATGCTGGGGCCTCTGCTTTGTGTACTAGTTGCTCTCTATACTTTTTATTGGAGCTTAGTAATGTTCAAGTTCACAGTAGTTCCTTTCAATAAAAGGCAGTGTCAATGGTTTGAATTTGTACCCTATTTCGGCTTGACATTGTTTTAACTTTTAAGCTTGAATTTGATTCTAGATAAGGTAAGTGAGGCTGGACTGAATTCAAAAGGGCTAATGCATTTGACCATGTTTTTGGGGAAGCACGTGATATATAATATGATGAAACTTGATTTTATCTCTTTGCATTTGTCAAATTGTTCTGAATTCATGCTCATCTGGGTACTTTCATTTTTTCATTTTTTTTATTGGGTTTTACATAATTATTATGATATGTCACTTTCATGCATCTGTTCCAGATTATTGATGCCTGTGCTAAAGGAAACCTGGGACGTTTCATAAACCACAGTTGCAATCCTAATTGTCGTACGGAAAAGGTATTCCCTGGAGTTAAATCTTCTATGCAGTTAAATAGTTTAAGGACAGTTTAGGATGAAGTTCCACGCAGTTGCTGAACATCTTATGTATTATCCTTCCTTCGCGATCAATTCCCCTCCCCATTCAACTCTTTTCTTCTTGATCTTCTCACCACCCTCTTCCCTTTCTGTAGGTTTATAATCTTTTGGTAAAGGTTTGCCATTTTGCTGATCAGAAGCTAGTGATAGCAGAATATTAAATATACATTTCATGTCATTCATGCTCATTTCATATGTCTTCTTGTTTATGACATGTTGTCGAAAAGTTGTTGCTAGATTAAATCAGAAACTATTGTAGTAAACTCTTAATCTACAGCTTTGAAAAAAATGATGTGCTTTTGGTACTGCTAAAATTTTGACCCGGACTTTTTTGACAGTGGATGGTGAATGGAGAAGTTTGTGTTGGACTGTTTGCTTTGAGGGATATTATGCAGGTAAACTCTTTCTTCTAACTATACATTTCTCATTTGCTGAATCAATTGACTGCTGCTGCTTCTCGAATTTGCTGGGTCTTGCATTGTTGTCTGTGAAGAACATTGGAAATCTATGCTGGGAGGTTTCTTCCTCTTTTCATTGTTTTCCCTTTTCCTTTCTCTTTTCCTTTGTTTTTTGGAGGGGGTACTATACCATTAACATATATTGGTTTCGAGTAATGAACATCGCCATATTGTCTTTGAGTAATACACAGTGCTTGGTAACCTTCAGATGCAGATATTGCAGATACAAGGATAGATGGCCTTTGGCTCTCCTGGTTGTAATCCACCATGTTTTGGGTTACTTATTATGTTCTTTTGATTCCAATTCATACAGTGATTAGTGTTGAGAAAAATGCATGCATTCTGATGGTTTAACTATTGTATGTCAGGGTGAAGAAGTTACATTCGACTACAATTACGTACGTGTGTTCGGGGCTGCTGTTAAAAAATGTGTGTGTGGTTCAACTAACTGTCGGGGGTATATAGGCGGCGATCCATCAAATGCTGAAGTAATCGTTCAAGGTGATTCTGATGAAGAATATCCTGAACCTGTTATGATCTGTGAAGATGGTGAGATAGATAATGACTGGAATGGCACAATGACACATTCCTCCAATGACGAAGAAATTACAGCTGCAAAGAAAGCACCAGAAAACAAAGATAGAATGAACCAACCAGAATGTATTGCTGGTCACTTGGAGAACATTTCAGAAACACACACTTCTGAAACTTCAACAAGAAATGAAGTTGAAAGTGTTGACCCTGCTTCTGGTGATGGTTGCTTAATGACTTCAATGTGCCAGAGATATCCTTCTGTTCAACCCATTGATGTATCCTTACAACCAGATGATCTTACAAAAGAAGCTATATCTGCAGTTGAGCACGAGTTTTCTACAACAGAAAGGAACACGACAAATTCGCTGTTCTCTGCTCGTGAAATTGAGATGACTGCCCATGCTGGACCGCCTAAAAAATTGGTTAAAACTAGGAGGAAGTTAAAATCTGGTACTGGTGGAAGAAGCGAAGAATTTATGGAGGATATTCTTCCAAAATCTCTTCATTCATCATCTACAGTAAAGAAGGGAAAGCTTAAAACTGATGCTATGACTGGCAAAAGAACTCCACATGTGGATAAGTCAATTATTGTACCCTACAAACCCAAAAGATTACCAGAACTTTCCTTAAATAGCCATTTTGAAGCAGGTAGATGATTTTCTGTTAATTTTGTTTTGAGGTAATTCTGCTTGTATTTTACTGGAATGACAACTAAATGCTTGCAGTTGAGGAGAAACTAAATGAGTTGCTAGATCCTGAAGGGGGAATAAGCAAGCGAAAAGTAAGTTCTTTCTCTCCTGTTAGTTTAACTGCATTGATTTCTTTTATCTCTCGTCCTCGGTTATCTGGAGCATCTAATACTTTGTTATTTATTTTTTATTTTTTATTTATAGAAGTCAGCGATAATTTTTGGTTCCTTGATCCGAATATTGTTACTATTTGATATCTGAATTCCTAAGTTGCCTGAAGTTGTTATGCCAGTGTTGCGTGTTTTGAAACTGATATTTTTGTTTGCAACTTGTTTCAATTTATTAAGTTGTCTTATTTTCCAATAGGATGCATCAAGAGGTTACTTGAAGCTTCTTTTTCTTACTGCTGCTTCAGGGAATAATGGACATGGTGAAGCCATTCAAAGGTAGTTTAGAGTTGTTACTTCCTATCATGTTTTCTTCTAGTTATTTAGATTTTTTTTCAAGACAGTAAAACCTACTTGTTTATTTTTGAGGGATTGATTCTGTGTGATACTTATATTGTTTCCCGTTTGTACTTTTGTAGCAATCGAGATCTTTCAATGATCTTGGATGCCATCTTGAAGACAAAATCACGGACTGTTCTAATAGATATAATTAACAAGAATGGTAGTTTTCGGTGCTTTTTTATTCAAAATATATGTCTTTCATGTCAGTTATACTTGTTTTACAATTGCAACCATTTTCATGGATGTATGACTTCCCTTATCTTTACAGGCTTGCAGATGTTACACAACATAATGAAGAGGTACAGAAGGGAATTCACTAAGACTCCTATCCTGCGAAAGCTTCTTAAGGTAAGTTTGTTGAAACTGAGGGTGTTTCTTAACATAGTCATTGTGCAATATAATGTTTGCTAACTGGGTGCTTAGACATTTCACAACAATTGAATAATACCTTCTCGGTAAAAGGAATGAATTGCAAGTTTCTTTTGGATAAAGATTTATTGAGTCGAGTAGAACCACAATTGGCTTGCTGAACTGCTCATCTGTAGTCACTGCATGGCAGTCAAAATGCAACACTCAACATAGAAATATATGCCTCGGTACACACAAGCATGCATGTAAATATGTGCTTACGAATAACTGCACAAATTTGTTGGTTCTCTAATGAATCACTTGGTGTGATTGTATTGCTAACCTTGATGCATCAGTATGTCAACCATCTTGTTATATTTGGGCACAATTTTACTTTATGGTTGTGACTCTATTCTTTTCGTCATCATAGAACCATTGGTAACTCAAGTTTTTCACAATCTTTGGAGGTACTGGTTCTCACAACAAGTGTCTATATGGTTTTGAAGAGTTGTTATGTTTTTTCTCCTTCTATTGGAAAGGGGAAGGGAAAGAGGGGACAGAGAATTATATTGTTCACATGCAATAAAGGGGAGGAAACAGAGAAGAAGAATGTGGAAGAACTAAGTGATTCAATGTAAAATAAATGACTTGAACTCAGTTATATTCGCATGTGAAGTTTGCGAGTAAAGCATCAAATGACAACAAGTGTCTATATGGTTTTGAAGAGTTGTTATGTTTTTTCTCCTTCTATTGGAAAGGGGAAGGGAAAGAGGGGACAGAGAATTATATTGTTCACATGCAATAAAGGGGAGGAAACAGAGAAGAAGAATGTGGAAGAACTAAGTGATTCAATGTAAAATAAATGACTTGAACTCAGTTATATTCGCATGTGAAGTTTGCGAGTAAAGCATCAAATGTTGAATGAATGCATGGAACCACTATTACTTAAAGGCATTCCTGTTAATCCATTGTCCTAATGAATGTGTAACTGTATTCAAGTGCATAGTATTCATCTAACGTCACAAGTGATTTTATTGAACCAAATTATTATTTGGCAAGAAAATGGTACCGTTCGAGAACTATGAAACATGTTTAATTAACTTCTTCAAAGTGCAACACTCATCATCTGTAATAGAGGAGTCATGCACTTGTTGTTGGTATTTCTTTAGCACTGGATAATCTAAATAATGCAGTATAATGGATTCATAAAAAATAAGTTTAAGCGATCATTGATGACAGTGATAATAATGATGATGATGATGTTGCTCACATTTGGTTGCTCGCTGTTCTTTCCTGTAGGTGCTCGAGTATCTGGCAATGAGGGAAATCCTTACTCTGGAGCACATAAGTGGAGGTCCTGCATGTCCTGGAGTGGAGAGGTCAATGAATACTTAATAAGTTTCATTTTTACGAGATTTTTTTTCTTTGAGGAATTGGATTAATTTCTGAATTTGCTGCATTGTCTGATTTAAATATCCAAGATCACTTTCTCACTTGCAATGTACAATCACATTATTTAGATACATTCAATTGTGATTAATTAGGAGCATTCCATTAGTGTAGTTGTGGAACCATGTTTATTTCTGATATTTAGTTTCGGATGTGAGAACATTTCATTGTCCATATTATGCAGTTGAAGTCCTGTTTTTGAGATACTTCGAACTTTAAAAAATTTGACTGGTACAGTTTACCAAAATGGTCATCCAAAAATTTCTATGCTTGACAATTTACCTGGGTCTGCACTCGACCATTGATCTCCATCCTTTTGTATATGCACAATCTAGCTCTTATAATTTTGTCGGTTGCTGTTGTTTATTAATAAACCTCATATTCACTCTTTTGGTTTTGGTCAGTTTCTTTTGGATATATATATATATATATATTTTTTTTTTTAACTTCTTACTGATATTGTTGCCTGCAGCACAATAGAACAAAGAATTTTGCTTCTCATATGTTTGTTCGAAAGAAATAATTTGTGTTGTCTTGAAATGCTATGAGCAGAGTTTTTCTTAAATCCTAATCTTTTAATTTGGAGTCGTTTAGGTTATTACCTTTCATGCTTAAGTATTTTTCTGAATTGCGCACTACTCTTATTGCAGCTTTAAGGATTCAATATTGATACTGACAGAACATGCAGATAAACAGGTATCATTTACAAATTGTCTTGCATTTTAATGTTAATCTTCATAATTGTGCCTCAATTTTTCTGGTATCTTTTTGATGAAGAATGGAACATATGCTATTCCTGTGAAGGGAGAAAAGACTCCAAAATATTGTGCTTGGATGAAGACAAATTTATGTCTCAAAAATAAAAATATAAAAGTGAAATAATAATACAAGGAAGATAATCCTGGGTAAAATTTTAATTCTGTTCTTAGTCTTTTGGTTGGAGATTTTTGTAGTTGTTCGCTAGAAGTTTTAGAATGTCAAATCTGTTTTTCTAGTCTGCAGCCCTTGGAAGGGCTGTTTGAAACTCTGCCCTTTTTTTCTGTCTTGTCTGGCTCTTGTCTATTTCCTTTTGTTTTAGACTTGGATTAGTATTTGTGGAAGAGAAGAAAACTTATTAGTTGAAGTAAAAGAAAAATCGTGAAAGATTTCTCAAGATGGCAAGATTATCTTCTAATGTAATTTTAGAAAATTCTGACTTAATGATTGAATTTGTCTAATAATTGCATTCATTATTGTCTGGATGTTCTGACAGTTTTTTGTCCTGAAGATTATCTTCTAATGTAATTTTAGAAAATTCTGACTTAATGATTGAATTTTCTATTTCTACTCAGGTCCATCATATTGCACGGAACTTCCGGGATAAGTGGATTCCTAGGCATATGAGAAAAAATGGCTGTATGGACAGGGTTGCTGGGAGGATGGAATTTCATCCTCGTTCTAGCTACACCAAGTTTTCTGCTGTACATGATCATGGGAGTCAGATAAAACCTTCTCAAGCAATGGAGTGTTTTGAAATGCAGTCCATGCCTGAATCTTGTACGGGCAACACTGGTGTTCCAGACGTCTCTGCCTCAGGTGATAATTGTGGAAACAGCGGCACAAAAAAGCGCAAGCGTAAAAGTAGATGGGATAATCCATTGGAGGCATGCTCGACGCCCAACATCAATGGGGATGGTCCTCCTGGGTTTCTGTCTCCGTGTAATGATCCTATGCTCACATGTGATGCATCTTTGACCTCTATTGATCACCAAGAAGGAACCATGCACATGATGGGTCCGTTTGATGTAGTATTGGGTGATTCACAGCATAAATTCATTTCACGTCTTTCTGTCTCCTATGGCGTTCCATTTACTGTCATAAAACAATATGGGGGCCATGAAGCAGAAGCTTCCAAGGGTTGGGCTGTAGCTCCCGGTGTACCATTCCACCCCTTTCCCCCGTTGCCTCCATATCCCCGTGACAGGAGGGTGCTACCAGCCTCTGCTGCTAATTGTCCGTCACTGGGTCAACGTGCAGAGAAAGCAGAAGTTGGTTTTGATCATTGTACTGATCATTCAGATGAAAGCCATACAAGGAAACCCAGATTTGACTCGCCGGATATGAACATTTCAGATGCAAATGACAGATATGATTTTCAGCAGGGAGGGAGTTCCTATAACTTGGGGAGGAATTACTTTAGGCAGCAGAAGTGGAATCACTCGAAGTTAGCACCGCCATGGGTCCGGAATAGAAATGTTTGGTAATGTACAGGGAACAGTCCTAGCAATGGCATGCGAAAGATAGGTTTAGGAAGTGGGACAATTGGGATACATTTCATGAGCATTGACATTGATAACTTTAGATTTTATTCTATAGGACGATTTTCAAGGAGCTTTGAAAATTTGAATGCTCCGTTTGAATGTACTACATTCTTTGCTGCACAGTGTCACTACAAATTAAATATTCTTTAATCTGTTCAGTTTTATCCTCATTTATAGGCTTTGCTGAGGTTGTTCTGAGAAATTATTTGCTTGCTTCGAAAGTACGAGTTCATTTTTCAAAAGAGGCAAGCTTATCTCATTTTATCTTTGATCCTGATATTAAATTTTAAACATTTTGTGGAATAAAATTTACTACTGCTGTTGCATGCTGATTGTTACTCTTTCCCTCTTTGGTGGTTCTACATATATATATGTTTGTTTGTTTATTTTTTGGGTGGTGGTTGTGGGGAGATGATGGAGTAAGATGGGGTACATCGTATATGGTTCCTCGTACAGTGACGATGGAGGTTTTGGGTCCAAATTCGATTTCAACACGTGTGCATACGCGGTAAGCATATTCAATCTGTAGTAGTTTTCTTTCTTTTCTTAATGTTATTTCTAATTGATTTTTGATATTTATAATAATTAGATTCTTGGAAAGGCCTATGCAAGGTGGGGTCCCTACGGAGTCATCCTGTAAAGTCGGAGTTCCACTTAGCAACAAGAAATATACCCTGTGCAATGAGCTACTGAAATGGAGAGGAACAAAATGTATATGGAGTGGGCTGATGGACTTCAAATACATGGAAACATTCCTTGGTCAGAAATTACTTTGGTAATCTAGTCTCCATTATCATAATATTCAAATTTGAATTTGCATAAGAATTTCGAATATCTCTTTGGAACTTTTATGGCATGTTTGGTAGGGAAGATTAGACAGTATTAAACAAGAAAGTCGTTAAAATTTTGTTCACTCCAGTAAAGTATACCATACGCACTTGAGGATTTTCTTTAGTTTGGTATAAAAGCTGTCCTTTTTGCTACCATTTATAAAAAAAGGTTGAATCCCAACATTGAGGGCCCCACTATCCTGCCTCTAAAGTTTTGTGAGGGAGGTAAATTGTGGGATGTGTCTCGATAGGACAGGGAACAAGAGCTGCTTATACACTGCGCCTACAAAGAGTCCAATTTCATGTATCATTTTGCTACCATTTATGCTTTTATCATTGATCGGGATGCATTTTGGCGTGGATAAATTGGAAGTTAGAGCTATGGAGTGATGAGAGTCTTGAACGCTTCTGAGTGGATATAAAAATGGCATCTTTTCATTTCATCCCAACTAAAGCACACATTGACTCTCAAGTGTTGGCACATACAATGATCTTTTGCATATTCTCAAGTGTCCCTGCGTCCGTCGAAGGTCTGGTCTCGAACTTGGTCTCCTAGGAATGCCCAGCTGGCCTACGCTTTCTTTTGCCACGTGCCATCCATTTAGTTTGCTAGTCAATGATTGGTCATTGAAGATGTCTAGAAAGCTCATTTTATGAAATTTTCAGATGATCAACGAGATAAATGTTAAATGGTAGCGACAAGAAATTCCCGAGTGGTTTTTGATAATTGCTTACGTGAAAACTCTTTCGTTTATGAATAATTGAAAAATCTTTATCTATTTCATAGCATAGAAAGGGACTGCGAAAATTTTCACCTGCAAAAATGGAAAGAGTTTACAATATATTTAGCCAGAGTTTGGTACAGATTAAAATTTTAATTTAAAGCAAAGTTAACAATTAATTTTAACAACACATTTTATAAATCTTCACTACTTTTCAACCTTATAATTTATAAACTTCTATTAAAACTTATTAAAAATATAATTTTAATCCACAGGAAATAGGGGCTTAAATTCATTCCTCTAGATTTCGAATCCAGAAACATTGCATCAGTTGGGTTGTTTGACCATTAAATCATATCATCATGTGAGTTGGGTCGTGAGATAGTTTGGTTTATATCTGGTGAGCATTGAGAAAACATTTCTCTAGCACGAGATAAGCCTGTTTCCCAATAAAATTTGTAGAAACAAGGCAAAAAAGAGTTGCACACATACAATTACAAGACAATATTTCAAAAAAAAAAAAAAAAAAAAAAAAATCTTCTACTTCGCAACCACAGGTCAATTCAACATACTTCAGTCTCATAGCCCTTCGGAGCATAGTCCAGTGGTGCAAAGGATAGGAGTGATGTTTTCGATTCCTGAAACATGGAATTGGACTTCTTGTAGGCGTAGTGTACATGCAACTCTTATTCTCTGGCTTGCTGCGATACATCCCGCGATTTACTTCCCTCACAAAGCTTTAGGGGCGGGGCGGTGGGGGCTCTCAAGGTTGGGGTTCAACCTTTTTTTTTAATAACATACTTCAGTCCCATTATACAAAATTTGTAGGAGAAGATGAAAAACGAGAGAGATCTGTACACTTGTGTAGAAGTTTTATTCCAAGCAGTCTTTTTAATCTTATCGAGGCTTTTACCCATGGGAGAGCCGCCGACGTTTGTGTCGGTTTGCGGGTCTCGATTTAGAAAGATGAAGGGTCCGAAAGTCTAAATAAGGGGTTACAAATTTCCCATCTCATCAGGGGCAAAAAATGAATAAAAAAGCAGCTAACAATATCATCCCAATAAACGTCTGATCTGCACATAGCACCAAGTTTTCATGGAGTCCTCTGCCTTCTTCAACTCCGAAATCCAATCACCTTTTTATAGCTTGGTTTTTGTCACAACACATACCAATTCTCGGCCATGTTTGGTCGGGTCTTGATGTATTTCTCTTCCAACTTCAGGAGAACTAGTCGACTTAGAATAGGTATGAACGTGATCTGCTAAAGTAAACTCGTTCCCTACTAGATAAGTTGTTTCTCCGAGCTTAATTTTCGCTTCATCGAGAATCCTCTCGAGATGGTCTTTGCTCCGTCTCAGAACCTCCACATTCTACATTTTTTCTTTTGTTTCATATGCTTCTCTTAGCTTACGGTGATGTGCACTTGCTAGTTTAGGAGACTCGGCCATCCTAGCAATTATTAACACAATCTTTAAGAATTTAGACACGAAAAGGTGATATTTCACGAGGAGGTGAATGAGAGTAAAGAACTTGGGATACCAATGTTGTATCTTATGCATCCATTGAACAACTTCTCTGCTGCTGAGGGTCGGGTCGGGTTGGGTTGGATTGGGTCGAATAGTCTCTGATAGAAGAGACAAAAGCAATTTGTTCTTTCTACCTATACATCTATACATTGTTATAAGAATAATGCTATTTAGCATTAGTGGTGTTAGAGCATCAGTTATATGATATTATATGATAGATTCAATTAAATGTAAAATTATGTAATTCATTTAATTATACCTTTGATGTAATAACATTTAGTGTTACCTAGGTTGGTGTTGTAATAACAGTAGTGCTAAATAATATTATTTTTATTATAATATGTAGAAAATATTCCTACCAGCAACTTCGAGAACTAAATTTACTTTAAATTCCTACCCTTTGAAACCTCCGAAGTAAATGTAAACATGATGATGACTAAATTTAAATAAATAAATGAATTTCCTTTCGACTAACTTAAGAGTACTACTACTTTAAGTTTTCAGAACCATACGCATATAATTTCGCAGAAGTCATCATCAACTAGATTTTTCATCTAACCTAAGTACGCCTTACTGGTTGAACCACACACGGTCTTATTTATTGAAAATATTTTTCAATAAAATAATATTATATGTAAACTCAAACATTTCCCTTCTTTTTTAATCACGGATTCTTATAAAAAAAAATAAAAATAAAAATGAAATCACTTTTCTAAAATATATTTCCCCAAAAAACATAGTAAAATGAAGCCGAAACAGGGACAAGGTGTAAAAGTGTCGGTAAGCGTGTAAAATACACTCATCAAACACTTCCTATACTTGCACTTTTGATGGTCTAACCAAAATTCTATACTTAACAATTCTCATTCCACTATGCAAAAAATAAAGACTCTCATTAGATAACTTATTTGCGCCGTGTTTAAAACTGTAAAGTTAAATCATAACAAACTTCCAAAAAAGCAACTAAAATAATTTTTCACTTGTTCGATGCTTTCCAAAAAAGCAACTAAAATAATTTTTCACTTGTTCAATACTTTCCAAAAAAGCAACTAAAATAATTTTTCACTTATTCAATACTTTCCAAAAAAGCAACTAAAATAATTTTTCACTTATTCGATGCTTGACTAGTGTGGGTGTGGGTGTGTAGACAAAGAAAATCGCCATCTAGACCTAGTCAAGATTGCATAAACGAATAGATTTTTTAAAAATTGGTTCAACTAATAATTTAATTTTATCATTTCCCTCTTGTGAGATTCATGCCCCCCACAAATTCCACTCTATAAATTAGAATTAAATTTAATAATTTATTCTTGAAGTTCAACTTTGTTTTTATCGCTTATTGATGAATGAATGATATGCATAATGGATGGTTATGTACTTAAACCAATGTGATTGTACATGTTGATTTTATTTCTTTGTGGTTTTTGTAAATAGGGACTGCATGCCTTAACTTACTGTTTTGAATTTGTTTTACATATTTAGTTAAAAAAAAGTTACTTTTTTAGGTATAAATCTTATTTCGTTATCGAAATAAGTAACTTATTTTTAACTTTCACTAATAAGAAAATTATATATTTGAGACTTACTCTTTCACTTATAATGATATCATTTAGTTTTTAGCATGGGTGGAGCCATGTGAGGACGAGTGCAGACATATGCTCGCACTGAATTTTTAGGCCCAAACAATATTTATTTTTATTTATTATTTTTTTATTTCATGATTTTGCTGGATTTTAGGTATAGGTTGATTTAGATTTCACTTATCAAAATATGAAAACTTGCAAGGAACACATTTAATTATAAACTATGTCATTTTTAGTTTTTTATTTTTTTTATATAGTTTTATCATCATTAAATTTATGACCAAAATTTAATATTCGACGTGTGTTAAATTATGCCCGCACTGAACAAATTTCTTGGCTTCACCCCTGGTTTTTAGTAAACTTTATAAGTTGTGTATGCTATAAGTCTTATAGCCGTCTTTAGCATTCTTTGATCCAATTTTTGTTCATTGTAACACTTTTGTTCCAAATATCCCTTTTTATCGTAATTTTGTTGTTGACACAAAGTGAAGTTAATTAATTATATCCAAACTTTTGTAT